ATTAAAAATGCAAATTTTATTGTTTCGCATGCGGACTCGTTCCTTTTAATCATTTGTAAGTTTTGATTCGTGTGCCATTCGAATTTCTATGTATTTACCTATAATCTTAATCTTGTATTTACCTATAATTAAACAGCATCTTTTGGAAACCTGATAAATTACATACACTTGTAGAAAAATTCAATAAAATGAAAAGGATCGAGGTTAGAATTAAACTTATGTGTGAAAACTACGATTGTTAGGAGGAGAGTAAACGTCTTTGCATTGAAAACAATGCTTCATTCTTCGTTTCGAATTTTCAGCTTTTCATTAAAAAGAGTTTACAGATTAGCAAAATATATTAAAAAAAACAACTCAGTATTCCTTATTAACCCCTCATATTCCCCAGCTCACCGACAGAACTCGACTAGAAAGAGATAGAGGGAGCTATCTAGCATCCATCTCTCTCGTTGCTTTTACTGCAAGATTGGGGCTCTTGTTCACTCTATGCTTATGTCTTGTTAAGATGAATAAAATAATTAAGTTCCTACACCGGTGGGACTGAGGCCGTGGTATCACTCCGGTAGAGCCAAACCATTTGTGCCAAAGCATGGCTCTCCTATTAGTATAAATCACGGTGCAGATTTTAAGAAGATTTACACTAATTGAATGTAGCTGTTAAAAAAATATATGACGACCACTTCCTCATTTTTTGAAGCCCGGAAATAAAAAGTTATTAATTCACTTAAGAATTAACAGACGTTTGTGACCACCTTAGAGTCAATACTGTAAGGAAGAGAATTAGTTAAAATGTTGTTAAAAGTACCTACCTAAATTACTTCTTCTTCTAATAAAAATAAACTATTAAGTGAATTCACTTGTTTTTTGTACAACAGAAAACGAATAATCAGTCAGTTGCGATCGTTTAGTCATGCTAAATGGTGTTAATTTTGTCTGGAATTTTATGTTTTACGTAGGTGAATAACCTCTGAAGGTGTCTAGGTCTGACAACTTTCTGACCGTTTTTTTACATGATTAATTTCAACTGACATATTTTTTTAAACACGTGGTAGTTGTGACCTTATCTCTACAATTGCGGTTAACGAGTTCATAAAAATAAACAGTTCAAGAGCCTAATAAATTATCAATTGATAGAGCTTTATTGTTAAATATACTGTTGTCAAAAATCGATGTAAGCAGGAAGTGTGGGCCTTCCCGGTGCGACGCGGCGCGAGTGAAGCCCTGGGGCGGAAGCAGCAGCGGCTGCCCCGGCGACAAGCTTGCATTACAAATATCCGCCTAATGAACGCACGTGCATTACTTACTGCCAGATTGATTCGATTACTTGCATAGCAAGGCGACTAGGATTAACCTAGACTAATAAATAATATTTAAAGCATTTTCTTTTTTGAGGAACCATCTAGTTTTTACCAACTTATTATATCTATGACCAACTATGTATAAAAAACAGACGTGTAGGATTTCAGTTCTACCTACCGTAGAAAACGAAATGCCTCAATTAGACACATGCATTTTTGAGTAAAAAAATGTTTTTACATTCTAAATAGATAACAAAAACAATAAATAAATATTTTTAATTACATATTATTCAAACAGGCATTGAATATTGTATAAAAGGTTTGGATTAAAAGACAAACCAAAGGAACATCTTGCAATACATCGGCCACCTTATCATAGATGGTCACAACATGTTTGCAGGGTAGACAATACGTATTTTTGGTCACATTTACAAAAACAAGATTGTAATCGCAATTTAATTTTGTTATATATAAACATTACTTGTATTACCAATTTTGTGCTGTTTAAAATAAAAACAATATAATTATAACACGTTTAAAAATTAAATGAAACCATTACAAAACAGTTTTAATAAAATAAATTATCTGTTATTATATAATTGCATCACGCCCGGCTGAGTGCTCGCTTATGTGATTACTACTCGTCAAAAATTTTAAACTAAAAAAAATTACGATACATACCTAATATGTTCTCATATACTCGTATGTTGACAATTTCTAATGGTGTAGCCAAAAGAAGGGACATGATTACTATTTCTGAACAGTATTTCTTGGTCCTAAACAACTCAGAACTACAAGAAATGTTTATTCAATTCCATGGCTAAAATTAAATGTTTTGAGATTATATTTCTAGAATGACTTGGTTGTTCACACGTTGCTATACCGTATGTGGGTTAATTTAGCTCTGCATGAAATCATTTTTCATCGGGTTTATTAAACGGTTGTATACATTTGGCTCATGAAAGTAGATAGGTACCTACCTTTTTAAGATCGATTGGCACCTATCTACCTACGCACATGTACAAGCTAAATTTAATTTTTACTTCATTGAAACGTCACCCTAGAAGGCCCCCTAGTAACATGTTAATGTTCTATAAATCAGTTGCTTTTTCTTTATTCAATGCAAGGTCATATTTTGACATATGTATTTCAGAATGTTAAAGTCTTAATACCGTTGTCAAATCCACTAATTTCTTTATATAAGTACTACTTAACATTTAAATAATTTCGACGCACTGCACGGATGACGCAACGGTTTAAGTGATCGTCACGCCCTATCACTGATTATGAAGGGTTTGAATCCCACACGGCACAAAAAAAAATTGTTGGACACATAATTGACAAATAGATGTCCCGAGTCTTTTATTATTAGTGTCCCTTGTTTGAAAGTCCTCGACACAGACATCATTGCTTAAGCAGGATACCTTTTAAAACAAAACATAGTACTCACTAGTAAAGTGAAATATGTAGGTAGGATTCAACTGAAAATAAATCATTCAACTATTAATCCTTAAATCGGACCTAGGTTGTTCAATCTAGAGTTGAGCAAGCGTCACAGACCCCATACACTATAACACAAGATTGAAACGTTAAATGTCAAACTGCATTTACACAATATAATTTACTAATTACGTAGTTGGCAAGCTCCAATATATTTGGAACCAGTCTATAATTTCTTGGTATTTTTTAAGATTTTCAAAATTAAACAATCGAAACCTTTAGATGTTTAGCTAGATTCGCCCAGTTTGCTTAAAATAAAATATTTAATTTATTCGTTGAAGTAATAAATTTTGTATTGTTAAAAACGAAATAAACAATTTTGTCTTTATTTATTTTATTTTGCTTTTCTCTTTGGACTTTTAAACGTATTTGTAATTTATATTTTCACCTACCTATCTTTAACTGTTGGTGGCCATATAATGAATATTCTGATAACCGAAGAAATACTATACTTGCTATAAAATTACATATGACTAGCTAGCAGTGCTTCGTTGTTACACATTGTGGTTGAATTGATGAGAAATAAAAACTAATCCGAAATATAGATAGAAACAATATTTGAGGCGGGTTGTATATCGTGTCAAAATTTGAACTCAATCAGTGCACAAATTTTTGAGTTTTTGAGAAGTACACAAACTAACTAAACATTTAAAAATATAGTAGGAGTATCGCTATTGTATATAAAGGATCGCAATGCAATTTGAAAAGCACTAACCGCAACTTTTACCGTTTTCTTGGGTACCAATGAAGGTGCAGAATGAATAAATGTACTGAACAAAGCCATTAAAATTTGATCAACATCGAGCACATGTACGTGATGGCATTTCGTGGCCTCCATGCGACATATCTGGCCTCCATGGGATATGTTACAACATGAATTAAGAACAAGGCGATGTCCATCATTGGACGCAGTGAAACAAACATGCGTGGAATGCATTTTATTTTGTCGGGCTAGATACTTGTCTATAGGACGGACTATGATACTACTTAGCTAAATTAATGTTTGGATTAAATTGAATTATTTACAACATAACACTAAAAGCTGTGAGACAAAGTCGGTCTGATAAACGAAGTGCTGTTTAAAATCGAACTAAATTAAGGGGTAGAAATGAGTTCCACTCCTGACTCCACCGTAATAATGTTAATCTGTTGGACTCGTCAAAATGAATCTAAGGAGTCCAAGCTCGAGGAGTTTACTCCGCTAGGCATATTTGTGTTCTGTGAGTTTACTAGTACCCTCTAAAGGGTTTCACTATCCACCTCCAGGTTCAATCAACAGATCCAATCCAAGATACCAGCATATTTACATTATTTCTTTTGCATAAAAAAGCCTACAAAGATTTATTTCAATACGAAAATTCAATAGCAGGTTAGAATTGACTTTAAAAGTTTGTTTACTAGTTGGTAATGTAAACGAGTGAGACCAATAAAAGCAGTTCGAAATTCGATGTATTTCCATTCTTTATTTTAAATTGACACAATCAAAAAGAAAGTTTTCCGTAGCTGTATTTGTCCTTTCTCTTCGAACTCTATTTTAAGATGATTACAAAGTAATGAAATTACTACAATGTGTGTATACTTACGTTTGATTGTAGCAACCACCGTATATTAGTAGCTACATTTTTAACTAAATGTGATTTTATTGTTATTTTATTAAGTGCCAAGTCAAATATTTTTGTAGATGAGATAATGACTTTCTAAAATCTTCTTAGAAATGCAATATGTGTATGATACGAATCCTACTAAATCTAAATTAGAAAAACTGCTAACTAATGTCAGCGGCAAATGTTTATGTTTGTGCTTAGTAACCAATGAGGAACATTAATAGTGGCCTACGTATGATTTGACCTCAAGGACGTTCCGATTGAAAATAAATAAAATACGGGCGCCAGTGCGCGACAGACGCATGCGCGTGCGCAGCCCCCGCCCACGTTACACCGTATTTTAAACTTGACTGGAATGGCGCCAGACTTCGAGGTTTTCACTCTCGACCTGACCGCTAATGGGAGTTATGACCGAGTAAACATTCCCTTTTCGGGAATGCTTTTGTTCTTAAATATTAACGCAGTTTATATTAAGACCGAATTAGAACGTAAAGATACTATGAAGCATTTTTTTATAAATACATGATGCTATTATTTTAATAGGTACACAAAATCTAGTGGAAAAAAACTTTGAATACGTTGAAATGAAATGTCTTACCAAGTAATGCGTTTTTTCCCACATGAATATTGCAGTAGATGTGGTGATCAGCGGCCACAACTGGCTCTACCGTTGTTTCGCCACCCGCTTCCATCAGCTTTAGCTTCGCTGTTAAATCTTGTACATCTGTAAATTCGGTATAATTCAATAAAGGAAAAAATAAACAAAAGCGATAAATAATAAAAGTTGTGTGTTTAAGTGTGTTTTCTATGCTGATACTTGCTTGCGCTAATACTTATCGCTGTCATGACTTTGTACAGCGCCTTAAATGTAAGCGGTTAATGAGAGTAACTAAAATATTACAAATCTAATTTTGGAGTAGTTGAATGCAAGGAAAACCGTTAGCTATTGTTACGCGTGCGGTCCGCTACGCAGGTCAAAATTAGTAGCACACATGTTCAAACAAACTCGTATTGTTTACATGGGCTCGGGGCGGCGGGCGCCGTCACAAAATTGGGTCTTCGCCTACGCCTGCATGCTCAGATTTATGACTTTACATTATTTGTATTAAATACCACGGTCAATAGTAAAAAAATAAATCGCCGATGTAAACCAACTTGGATGCTTGGTTGCTTGGATGATAACAGATGTGACATTAGCTTTGCTGACATCCTAATCCCAACTAATATTATTAATTTCAATGTCAGCTTATTTGTTTGATCGGCCAACTACTCAACTGATTATCATACACCTTATTAGGAGTACAAAAAAGATCGGATACTTTAGTTCTAGAAAAAAAGTACCGAGAGATGCAAAAATAACTTTCTTTTTTCTAAGAAACGGCCAAGCCACATATTTTGACTAAGGTAAAAAGTCTGTAAAGTTAGGGCCTTTAGAGTGAATGCGTATTGAGTTAGAAGCTTGGCTCTTTGCGAGTATATGAGATTTGATAACTATATTTTGACAGTGCGAACCACACGGTGTCGTCTTGGCAACATTTTACATGAAAATGTTTTTGGTGAGCTTTCACTTATTTTTGTAAGTTGCTTATGACATTATTTATAACAAGGAGTCCCTCTATCAATTTTCAGACCTCTAGCATCGAATTTTGCGGTTGTCTCATACAAACTTCCATCAACTAGTTTAGTTGGTTGGAGGATAAAAGTTCAAAGTTTTAGTTTTTTTGTAGTTTGTGTACTTATAATAGCTTTCATACCAAATTTCAGCTTTCTAGGACTTCAGGAAGTACCCTAAGAATTTTGATGATCATCAGTGAGTTAGTGACGAAATTGGGGTTTTTTAGATATCAATAAAATCTAAAGTATAAAATCTTTATAATTCAAGCTTTATATGTTTAATTAGTTAACTATTGATATCATATCCCGTGAATTTTGTTCATCTGGTATAATCCAAACTCAAGTTTTGAGGATTCAAAAAAACGTCGAAACGCTTCGAGAAAAGGTAGGTAGTGCCGTTGCGCTTCGGTCGGCTCGTCTACTCGCACTACCGTGCCCCCACCAAGACGAGCAGATTACCTTCTAAGATAAAAGGAAAACGCGTCATAATTATACTCGCTATACGCTATTCGGTACAGATTGGTGTTGGTTGGTATACAGATCTCGTACACCATATACCTATGTACTCGTTCAACGAGATCTGTATCATCAATATCATTTAGAGACGTGTGAGCTTGGCGCCACTGATCTTCATGCATTTTCCCTTGTTTTTATTTATCTGTGGTTGTTGTCTGATGAACTGATGAGTCACTATTTCTGAATGCTATCAATTACCATCTTTATAATTAAAGCGCTACATCTGTTTGGTCGGTAATAACTCAAGACCACTGAACATATTTATGCCTCTGTATTCCAGAAGAGGTAGGTAAAAGTATATTTCACACATAACAGGGAACTAGTCTAATGTTGTCTGTTTAGATAAAGAGTCTTTACACGCCTTGATAAGAATTTAAATCGAGAATCGAGTTCGATATAGAAACAGTATTTTCTTATGAGACCCATGTTTCGGTACAAATAGGGCGGCTCGACCGGAGTGTTTCCACGGCCTCATAGAAAACCGGTGTTAAGCTATTTTTTCTTTGCTTTACACCGAGCAAGAACCTTAAGCAACGCGCGTTTGTCACCGTGTCATAATGCGCGCGTTTGAGCAAAACGCGCATTCGACGTCCGTCACCTGAGACCATAGTGCAATTTTATTTCACACTAGCTGACCCGCGCAACTTCGTCTGCGTCTCTCAATAGTAATAAATTTTCTCCGTTTTTAGAACATTCTTCATTGGTACTCCGCTCCTATTGGTCTTAGCGTGATGATATATAGCCTATAGCCTTCCTCGATAAATGGGCTATCTAACACTGAAATAATTTTTCAAATCGGACCAGTAGTTCCTGAGATTAGCGCGTTCAAACAAACAAACAAACAAACAAACAAACAAACTCTTCAGCTTTATAATATTAGTATAGATCTATTCGTTCGTCACAGTGAACGCGTTTGACGTTGCGATTGGCCTACAGTTAAATCTTCACCAATCACAACGCCAAACGCGGTTAAAGGGTAGGTAACAATGACTTAAATATAAATCAATAATTCGCAGGGCGCAAATGTCTTGAAATCAAAATACTTACTCGTACAATGTGCGGTATATTTATTCAGTAGGTATTGTGTAATGGATTTTTATGTTTTATTATAATCAGAGTGATTATAATAAAAACTACGTAATATAAAATGTAGATGGAAGTTGTAGAATACTAAACATAGAACATAGAATTTATATTAAGTACGATTATGTTTTAGATACACTAGTGGAGTCCCGCAACTTTACGTTTATGGTCACTGCTTGGTCTCTATGGGGTTTCGTTGTGAAATGTTATGGGTCCAATAAAGAGGGTTTTAACGCTAAATTAATACAATTTTACAAACAGTCTGGTTTAACCCGAAGTTAGCTCCTTCCAAACACAAACTCTTCAGCAAAAATTTAGATAATTTTTAAGGCCATGTATGTATACCATACTTTTGGAAGTAGAGAACTGTGTAATTAGTTAAAAATGCCAGTATTAAACCTATCACATGTAAGTTTCTTAGTCCATGGTTTATTTAAAAAGAAAAAAAACAAAACACGATCCACACCTAACGATATATAAAACAAAGCTATTAAAATTCCTTGCGGGTTCGACTTTTCCTTTTCTTGGCTCCACGGTCATTAAAACAATATGTATTTTAAAAAAAAACCTTTAATAATTTTGACAATGAAGTGTATCAGAAATTAAATAAATCTTTTCATGGCATATTTAACATTAGCAGGCTGCATGACAAATAATTTTAATTATCTCATAAAATGTATAGATTTCGTTAACATACTTTTAGCTAAAAATAGGTCTCAAGTGCAAGACTTCTTATTAAAACACAATCAAAAGCACGAGGCTATCACAATATTCCACGTTATCACCAAACAAAGATACGATTGATCCGATTGCCATCCATGCTGGAACTACATCTTAGCTAACTCACTCTTATCTCAAACACTGCGGGTTGACTAGTATTCTGGATCCAACACTATTCTTTAGTGTGGTTTAAATAAGTTTAATCTAAATCTTCGTAAGTAGTTATCTCTTTTCTGATATTTTTATGAGAGTAATTTAAACTTCCTTCAAATTCCTTCAAATACACTCTTAAAATGAGGTTAACATATTGTATCTGTCTGTATACTTGTATTCTCAATCTGAGTATCCTAGCCTTGACACGTTTTCTGCTTCTTTTAAAGATTACATTAAAACTGCTATATAAATAGTTACATGAAAAAACAAATACAAGTGGATGATGTCTTTGGACCTTAACTAAGTGTGTATTAGACTTTAATACATCATCGTATCATAAATATTTTTACACTTCTGAGAAAAACTTCTTTCCTTCTTTTTACAGTGCAGTTGTCCTGGGTAGTTTGCTCCCTTAGTCGGCTCTAAGAAGGAAAACTTGACACAAACCCTATACCAACCCGTCTGGCCGGCGTGGTATAGAGGGCCAAAACCTCTTTTCTAAAGAGAGGCCTATGTCCAGCAGTGGACTCTTAAAGGTTGTTGATGTGATGTCAGAAAAACTTAACTTTAAGAAAAATCTCTATCCAGATCTGTAAATGCTGTACTGCCGAAGTTGATTATTTTAGACTAGCTTTTGCCCGCTGCTCCGCCCGCGTAAATGGCGGTTATCGCGGTAAAAAGTAGCAAATGTCTTTCCTCAAGAATCAAAGTATCTTCCAAATTTGTAGCAAATTTCACCTAAATCGATTCAGCGGCTTAAGCGTGATAGGTAACAGACGACCGACAGACAGGCACACTTTCGCATTTATAATATTAGTATGGATTGTAGAGAGATGCGACATTATATACAATACTACGTATATCAACAAAACATTTTGAAAGGTAACTCCAATCAAATATTTTTTCAATTTTTTAAATTACTTACTTTTTATTGACTTGATCTATGTATGTATCTAGTTTTTCGTCTACTTCAAGTCGACCGTTTAATTTGATTTTTTTATATAAATAATACAAAAAAAAAAGAATATAAATTATACACTAAAAACAAACTAAAAAATCATTTTTAATAGCCTGTAGCCCGAAATGGCTTGTTACGGCGATTGTATATATAGTCTCTAACTTAATAGAGGTTAAGCCCATAGAAGAGAATTCAATAGTATTAAAAGCAAGATTGCTTGTACTGAGTACGGATGGATAGGTTACTCAGGGCAAATAGAGGGAGACTAGTGAAGGTTATTGATCATTGGTTTCTACGCTTACTTATGTGTGAAATGCAATTCCATCCAACTATCTATGTATAAGATATACATGTAGTTTGAGTTTTACACCCTTTCATAACACGATTCGGCATTTTTACTTCTGAAAATTGTTGACATTTGTGATGACGTTCTGAACTTCTGACTGACAGTTTCGTTGTACGTGTGTGCGTATAATTGTGTATATACATACATGCCATGGCGTGGTTTTAATTGACCTTACTTCTAAGTTATGAACTTTTTTATTTGATCTGAGTGTTGTAATAAGTCGACCTGACTGAAACCTGTAGCTCAAGCTTGCTTTTGCCAAGGAGTTGAAGCTCAGTTCATCATCATCATCATCACGTAGTCATGTAAAATTAATAAAATATTTTTTATAATCAAAACACCCCACGCTTATTACAATCGAAGTAATTATTTTGTTAATAACCTAATTTTCTTTTTAAACTTATTAGATTTTGTTAAAATCAAACAGTGTTATAATCACTACAGAACTTTATAACTTATTTTTTTTTTACTTCGGTTTGCTATTAAAGCGAGTTTCTCCTTTATTTATTTTTTAAAACAACATATTTGTTTAGATTATCTAATCTAACAAAAATAAAGCAGACATTTTTGCGTCGCATCCATCGCTGTTGTCTGAAGCATAACTTATTTGAATGACTGAAATTATTTTACACAAGTTCTTAAACAATAAGTTAGTACACTCACCTGACTTCAGAGCCCGTCGAATAACTTTCCATTGCCTGGCATGATACAGCGACATGACGAGCACCACTACAAAGAAAACGATACAGCCACTTGCGGCTACACTGAGGGTAGTCGTCTGAAGGTCCCACGTCCCTGCATCATCACTAGCAGTCACCTCACTATCATAGTCCACATATTCGTACCACTCGTATTCACTAGGTATTTCACTTGATTCATTGTCTTTTTTAAACACCCGGGTCGGACCGGGTGTGTTGAATGGTGGTATTTGTGCTTCGTTTAAGGATTGGCATATGGTATCCCTGTGTATCTCGCAGGGATACCTTACAACGAGGCGCTGGGCTGAGTCGCAGCGTGTACAGGGGACACAGGACCCGCGGTGCCTGTCCCACCAGCTCACACCGCGTTTACACTCGCCGGTTCCCGCCGCAGATCCTATTGCCAGTGCAGCAACCAGCAGACACAGTTTGGATATGTCTGCTCGCATCACCTGCAATATAGAAGCCAAAGTGTAACATACGATTAAGGATTCTACCGTTGCCTCTTTGCTGCACTTATTAAACGATTTAAACGATGCATTTTTTATGTTACATAAAACCTCTACTTTTATTCATAAAACGTTTATAGTCCAAAAAAAAGTATTATTCATTGGGCTTATGTTGTCTTACAAGAAAATATCATAAGATTTGAACCATAGATAATACACTATTCAACCTTAGGCCACCTGAGTGTAAAATCGACGACCGTTGACTGTACCAACCCAGTTTCGTAGTCCCTTGAAGAGGAAGAAAATCAAATTCGACGGAAGAGTTCTACGATTAGGTTCAGTTCATCATGGAAGGGTCATTGCGTAGGTTTCGCGACCACCTTCAGTAGGCGACTATTTGACGGACTCCGGATTTGAGTTCCTTTAAGGCAAGATAATAGCATTTCTAGAAGTAACATTACAAAAACAGTTTTTTTTACAGTTATCAACTAAAAAAAATGGTCAATAAGTTTAAGTACTTATTTTATATTTTACAGGCAAATTCTGTGTTTAATTAGAGGTAACGATTGCTCGAATGAGATTTTGATTTTTTTTATATTTTGCTATGTTTATGCATAATATATATTAAGATAAAACTTGGTGGTCGATAACCGAGGTGACAATATGTCAAAAACCATGTGTTCGCAATCCGATGAATACAGCATTATTTTGTTTTGCTTAGTATGATCATAATGGTTCATACAGGTCTTCTAATATTTAGGGTATAGCATTGTGACTCTACTCGGGGGTTGTGCGGTCCATGGCCCTTTACGGGTGCCCAGTATGGGCGGGGGCCCTGAATGCCAGCAACGTCGAGATACTGCAACGACCGCAGCGAATGCTGGCCATCAGGATCATAAATACCGCACGATCTCCTTTGAGGCGGCGAGTCTCCTGGCCGGAACTCCACCATGGGACCTGGAGGCGAGAGCCCTTGCGGCTCTGTATCAGTGGCGCAAGGAGGCGCAGGAGTTGGGTCGATGCCCCGAGATTCGAGAAATCGATGACCGGAAATCCCAACTCCGCCAGGTCATCATAGGGGAGTGGAGGGAACGACTCGGGCAACCGAGCGCCGGGCACGCCGTCATCGCGGCGGTAAGACCCGTTATGGAGGATTGGCTCGAGAGGCGTCACGGGACCCTCTCATACCGATTGACGCAGGTGATCACTGGGAAGGGATGTTCGGAGATCACCTGTGTCTGATCCGCAAGGAGCCAACGCCTGAGTGCCACCACTGCGATGGCCAGACCGTGGATACGGCTCTCCACACGCTGGCAGAGTGCCCGGCGTGGGTTGAGCAGAGGCGAGACCTCGTGGCGGCCATAGGAGTGGGAGTTCTCTCGCTCGATAGCCTGATTGCGGCTATCGTGCGGAGCGAGAGTGCGTGGAACTCTGCCGTCTCCTTCTGCGAGCAAGTTATGCTCGCGAAGGAGACGGCAGAGTTCGGGACCGGGAGAGGTTTAGGACTCTCCCGGCCCGCCAGGCCCGGGAACGGGCCAGGTACCGCAGGCGACTCAGGCGCCGGAGGTCGCAGAACGACCTCCGTCCTCCATAAGCGCAGGCCTGGGGGTGACAGGTGAGGCCATCTGTCACCCGAGCAGAAGCAGGCCGGGGTGACGGCGAGCGCGTTATGAAGGGCGCGCGCCCTTCCGGGAGCACAGAGGGAACATGGGAGTTCCCACACAGGGAGGGTCGTCTACCCGCCGTAGATGGCCCGATATACGTCGGGGCACCAGGGATTTCCTTTCTAGGGTACACCTGGTTCCCCGACTACTGGTACCTCAGACGGCGTGCGGTTTTAGTCGGTTCGAGTCCGACATTGAAATGATATACGAATGTAGGAGAATAAGAGCAATTGGTAGACTGTATCAGATCCCTCGGACTAGAATTCAAGATCGACTCAAGGGGACCAGATCCTGTACTTGGTATACGAGGCATGCCTTTTAAGTTTTGTCGTTTGAAGAAAAAAACACAACTAGAACCTTATAGTACTCTTTATTGTTTTTCAAAGTATTCACCACGTAGCTTAGTACACTTTTCCATTCGCTCAAACCAGTTATTATAACATTTATTCCACTCTAAAGTGGGGGTGTTCAAAATGGCTGACTTGAAAGCGTCGTCTGCTTCTTCACCGAACTGGAACCTTTGACCACGAAGACTTTTCTTAATTTTAGGAAATGTAAAGTAATCGTTAGGCTAGGCTTAGGTCAGGACTGTATGGAGGATGGTCAAGAATTTCTACTTTTTCTTGCTTCAAATACTCAATCGTTTGACGAGCGCTGTGTGAGCTTGCGTTGTCGGGGTGCAGGATGATGTGTCGCTTTGAGTTAGATTTTCGAAGTTCGGCGATGATTTGTGGTAAACAAACTGTGGTATACCACTCTGCGTTAACCGTTCTACGATCTTCAAGTGCAATAGTCGCAACATGGCCGGTTTTTCAAACGAACTTGGCCACCATCTTCTTTGAAGTGCTGCGAGAACGAACAACTTTAGTCGGCTTTGGCTCGTCTTGAAAGACCCAGATTGTAGATTGTTGTTTGGAATCAGGATCGTAGGCATAGATCCAAGATTCGTCACCACTGATGATATGGTAGACGTGATTTGACTCTCCTCGGTTGAACCTTTGCAGAGTTTTCTTACACCATCTGACGCGGGCCTCCTTGTGATCGTCGGAACGCAGATGCGGTATCCAACGGCAAATTAGCTTTCTCACAACAAGCGCTTCATGCAAGATCTTCTGAATGGTTGTCCCTGAGATGCCTAATAGAGCCTCTATCTTTCGATACGTCACATGACGATCTTCGAGAATTAGTTGTCTCACAGCAATGATGTTATCTTCAGCGAAGGCGGATTTTGGGCGTCCTTCGCGAGATTTGTCACTAACACTAGTATGTCAACGCTGGAATTCTGAATACCAGCGTTCGACAGTCCGCAGGCATGGGGCTTCATCACTGAACACAGATGTCAGCTCTTCAAAACACTGAAGAAGTGTCAGGCCTCTTCTAAAGTTGTAGAAAATTATTGCACGAACATTTTCCTTAGATTCAAGATTCATTTTCGTACGTAACCTGACAGATTCCAATCGAAGCTGTGACTAAACAATAGTATTAATCGTAATACTTTCAACTGTTTTGAGATTCAAAATTTAAACACATTCGAATATAGAACCGTTCCAAATTTAAAATTTCCGGGAAATATGGAAACGACAGAACTTAAAAGACCTGCCTAGTAGAAGGCAAAAAGCGGGTAAAAGAGGGGCTTTGGCCATATCAAGACCATGGTACGAAGAATCTCTTCAAATATCGCGAATAGACCGTGACCGTTTATCTTATTAAAATAGTGGTCGCATACGAGCTCACTTGTGGTCGTAAACCGACGTTTTGGCTATATTTTGGCACTTTCTCAGCATTTTATAATAATGTATGGATGAAGGTATTTTGTTTTAAGTTTTATATCAAAACTAGACTATACTTGGGACCAATTTGCACTAACACATACTATATTGCTTATAGATAACATTTTTATTTACTCGTCTGAAGTGAGCGCCCCAGCTTACTGACTGCTAACCGGCGCAATGACCCTACATTTTTATATAACATAATAAATACCTACGAAACCCACTTCACTAATAGGCTTTGTTAATACGTACTAGGGATGGAATAAAATCACATGTGATAAATCATATGATTTATAAATCATAAAGGTCGTAAAGGTCGTCTTTGATTTTAAATTGATTGATTTTAATGCCATTTATCTTTTTTTATGACGAAATCACAATCACATGTGAACTCGCTGTGACCAACACCAATTATAATTTCATCAAATCAATATGATTTAAAAGTAGCAATAATTTCCATGTCTAATGGAACCATAAGATAAGTACCTACTTAAACTGTTTGTCAGTCAGGAAATAGTTTAATAATTCGACGCAACAGACTAAAACACACCTTACTAGACATATTTTAGGTCTAGTCTAGAACAAAGTCTGGAAAAAATTATAAATAGTTTTTAACACAATTCCATCTTAAATTATAGCGTTGACCATTTAGTTTAAATGTAGTAGGTACTAAGTACATAGATGTGTATATAAGTTAAAATGAAGTAAACTTATAGTTAGGTACGTTTTATGAATAAACATTGTTTTTAAATATTAATTAGCAAGGATTATTATATTGTGTTTACATTACCTCCCCGCTTACACTCATGTATGCTACCTAAGTATTCACAAAGGACCGCATCTCAGTACATAATGATTATATTCATTTAGAAAGTTCACTTTCACAAATATCACTGTCGTAGGGATTGTATTGAACTTAGTGGAACTGATTTGTGGTGCGAAATCCATTAACACATTGCTTTGCACTAACACCGGCAATATATGTTTTTGATAAGTAAGAAAGATAGTGAGCGTGAGCGCAAACGAAGCGCGTCTTTCGGTCGCGGTCGCAATTCGATCTGCGAGTTCGACCTGCGCGGGAGACGCGGCGATTCAACTGTTCGGAGCGGTCCCCTATCCCTCCTCCAGCGCAGGATGCTCGTACGCGTACGCGTTACCCGCTGATAGAAAATGTACGTAACTCTATTAGACGTTTTAATTTGAATGTAATCTACTTTCAAACTCTTCTACAATAGAGGGATTAGTTCGAAAGTGATGTAGTGAATCTATGACTTCGTAGGTCTTTAGTTTCTAAATTGTTTTTCATTATTAACATCTTATTTAGAAATAAAATGTATACAAGAGTCTAGAAAACCTCTCAAACTTAAGAATTAATTAGGAATTAGTAACGATTTAATATATTAATTGTGGTAATTATTGATGATGAAGAATTGGTGAAATACCTACCCATAACTGATACTATAGTTCAACTGTGAATTGAGTAGGTATCTAACTATTACGGTGGTAGAATAAATGATTGCAGATATATTGGAAGAATAGTAGAAGTTTATGGTATATATTTACAGTAAAAGTCATCATTATCATATTTAATTATGCACATGTAGTATGTCAGTAATGGCAGTTGCGTATTTAATTATTTGCAGACCATCTCTAAAACCTATTACAGTTTGTTTGATAGAGAGTCTAGAGGAAGTATGAAATTCATTAATAAGTCTTAAGTTAAAATAATCTTTAAATACAATGTCCACAATAGCAGTACAGAGGTTTATTGGGGGCAAAATGTTTTTGAAAGCCAAAGTTGACACTTCTATTTCACCTAAAACGTGTTACATATATTTTTACGAAAGTAGTAGGATAAAATATCATAACTATAACAATCAATTAGATTATAGATATAGATTAGGATTAAATTAGATTTAACATCAAATCAATAACGTTTCGTTCTGTTTGTAAGTACTATTTGTTTGTTTACTTACAAACAAATAGTATGATTGGCATAAAACAAATCCAAACATGTCAACACTAACGTGATCGTGATATGATTAACATGATGTCTCATTATTGTTTACAGTTTGAATTATGTTGTGTTTAGTCTAATTTAAAAGGTTAATATTAATAAGAGGTTCATAAAATAAGGAGTTTGCTTATTTTCGAATATTTTTATTAATTTAGATGTCTTTTTTCTGAAGTAAAAATATACACTTATATGGCGTGTAACGGAGTGTCGTTTGTTATCATCGATCCGTCATTGTCAAAGTAATGTTAGTAATGCCTAAATATTAAATAGTGTTCCATTCCATTCTGTTGTGTAGTACTATTATATTTAGCATCAAATTCTCTTTGCACTCTCTTTATAACATTAAATTAGATAAGGACCAATGTTGCCCTATTTTTTTATTGGACAGTAATTTGTCAATCGAATGGTGTAATTCGAAATTCAAAGTTAAGTAGTCTTTCAAAAGGTAAAGTCGCTGAAGTCGTAAATTTAGAAATAAGTATTTTTTGTAAAGTGAATGATATTTGTACTAAAGGACAAAAGTGAATTGATTAATAAAAGTGGAATACGGATAATAAGCATAATTTCATATCGCATTAGACTAAAACCATGAGCGCAAATAACGCCAGAGGAAATTCTCGTGTGAAAAATATTCAAGGTAATGTTCGATCTCCTTGTTAAAATATAAATCATATGATTATAAGTATACCACTATTCATTTTATTTCACTTTCAAGATCCTTCTGTCTCCTCCACGGTCCACATTCCTCGCCAAACCTTTATTAAACCAAGAATAACCAATCTAAGACATGATGTGGGATGGTTTCCTATTGACACAAGTATCAGTCAAAATTCTTTTGTTCTTTTTATAACATTGTATAAAATGTAGTTAGAATAGCAATGATACATAATTATACACTTGTATTAAAACAAATTTTCGTGTTGTAGATTTATTGTAAATGTTTCAGATACACCATTAAATGTGTCATCTAGTGCAGAAGAATTATCCACATCTAAAGCCTTAATTATTGTTGCTATAATATTTGTATCATCACTACTGGCATTAGGTTTCCTATACAGCCAGTTTCCACATTTAGAAGAGTAAGTATCATAATGTAATATTATTATAATAAATAAGTCAGATAAATAGACTCTCGCAGTTTTACGTTCTATATTTGTTACTATTAAAAAAAATGTATATTTCTGTAATATTCTGGGTACCCTTGTATTAAATTAAAATACATACAAATCCACAAGTAAGTACAAGTAGAGAGCAACTTAGCTTAAGGGTGCGTTCTTATCTATTACAGAGCTGACTATAAAATAAGTTATTATTGTCACTAGTTTTAAATTAAGTTTAGTTGTGTATTGATCTTTAATTCATAAAACTTTAATCAAATTGTCCAATTTTGTGTATGTGTAAACATACACAAAACAAATGAATGTAAATTCTATCATTCAATGCATATTTAACAATTTAATCCAAAACGGGTTAAATTGATAATGCTAGTTAACTTGCCAAAATATTCATTAGTATTCATATTGAGAAGAAAGTGATTTATGTAGTTGATTGTGCAATTATTATATTCACCATCATCATCACCATCACCATCATCATCATCATCATCATCAACAGCCTTTACTAGTCTGCTGCTGAACATAGGCCTCTCCTTAAAAAGGAGGTTTGTATTGTTTGTTTCAAGTTTTCCTTCTCTTTGCAGTGCCGTTGCCATTCTTAATGCGTCACCACATGGAGAAATTATTATATAAATAAGATGTTTTTCTAGGAAGATTATAAATACAAATAATGGTTGATTGTTTAGAATGAATACTTAAATTTTAGCCAGTTTTTAGATTTAACCATTTCCAAGTTACATTATTGCACAAACATATACAAACACATAATAATTTACAAACTTAACCATACATATATTGATTGTAATAACTGACATTTACATATTAAAGTGATTTCTTTTAATATACCATTTGCTTTTTCAGACATGAGAGTCAACATTTGCATTTGCCATGGGACCTTGAGGATGCAAAACATTTAGGTTTAGTATTAGACCGCTATAAGGACAAGTATTTTTATGAAGTATTATTTGGAGTTTTCTTAGTTTATATATTGTATCCTTTTTAAAATAAATACATACAACTTTAATAGAAAATTAGATTGCTTGTAAAAGTCTACTAACAGTCACAGAAGATAAAATTATCACAATAGTTTAAATTGTTCTTAAACATTATGAAAGTTGAAAGGAAATAAGATTTACAAACTGGTGTTTGGTGTTTATAACTAGCTTGTTACATAATTCTAAAATATTAAGAGAAAGATGTGCAAATAAATTATTCAATGACGGACATGTTGGTCTAGTTGTTAGCGCACATGATTGTTAAGCCAATGGGTTTTGGGTTTGATTTCCACCTAGGACAAATATTGTGTAATGACATGTTCATCATCATCATTGGTTCTCTGTCTGAATTTATCAATATTATGTATGTTTTTAGAAATATATGAGTATGTTTATCAGCAGTCTTACCTGTTCTCTACATGCTCCATCTAGTCTGGGATCAGATATGTGCGAAATGTCTTGGTTATTATTATTACCATTTTTTACAAGAATATGTAACAAAACTAATGAGTTTCCTTAACCTTTGTCACAGCTTGCAAACATTTGCGATACCTGGATCAATTTTTTTAAGTATTCTTTCAGGGTTTTTATTTTCATTTTATTTAGCACTACTTCTAGTTTGCTGCTGTTCAGCTATTGGTGCAAGTTTATGTTTTTTCCTATCCAATCTTTTTGGAAAGAAGTTGGTGAAAAAATTCTTTCCTGAAAAAGCTGCAGAGTGGGCTAAGGCAGTCACAAAGCACAAAAATAATTTGCTCTACTATATAATATTTTTGAGGGTGACACCCTTTTTACCAAACTGGTTTATAAACCTGTCTGCACCCGTAATTGGTGTACCTTTAGTGCCATTTGCATTGGGAACATTTATTGGTAAGTTAAATTAAATGGTATTTATTTAAAACAGTTATGCTCAATTATGTAATCTTATCTAAATTAGTGATGCAAGTATGAAACTTACTCACTGAGAATTGGGGTTATGTTTATATAATTATTCATATATTTTACTAGCTGGTGCCCGCCACTTCGTTCGCGTGGAATTTGAAATGCGTTCCTTGGTTCGATTCCCGGACCGGGCAAAATTTTATAGGGTTTTTCTAAGACAAAAATAGCCTGAGTCACGCCTTTTATAGATCTACCTGGTAGTAAAATATTATCAAAATCGGTCCAGCTGTTTTAAAGATTACCCAAAACAAACGAGCAGCTAGATAAACAGACAGACAAAAAATATTAAAACTGGTTTTTAGGCATAGGTTTCGTTCAAATAACCATGTGAGCATGAAAGAAACCTATTATTTTGACATCACAAACAGACACTTCAATTTTATTTATTTGTATTTGATACATTACCCCTTAATTAAAAATGTAGATGAGATAACAATTTAAGCATCTTTTTATTTTTTATAAAAGTTATAAACTGAAGCTGATACATTTTTTTTGTTTTAGGAAATACTTTGTGTATATAAGAGCAATTTAGTTTAAAACTATGCATGATCTTTGCAGGTGTGTCTCCCCGCCATCATTTGTAGCCATCCAGGCTGGACAAACATTGCACACATTGACATCGACGAGTGACGCTTGGTCATGGACCTCAATAACAGTCCTTACTATATTCGCATTTGTTTCTCTAATACCTGTATTTCTCAAAGACAAATTGAGAGAAAAGTTCGATTGAAAACATTTTGTTGATTTTTAGTTAATTTTATTTATTTTGTTAATAAAATAATGTTTTGTACATTCCATAATACTATTTCATTCCCCATTTTATTGAAGGTCAGCAATATGAGCCGATATGTGCGATAAACGTTTCATTTCCCATTGATGGCTGCACGGCAGGCCTCCAGTACCACCAGTTATACCATACTGTAAAAAAAGAACCAGTAAAGAATTTCTGTATTAAAGTAAGGTCTAAGTTACTGGTACTAATGGTAATTATAATGAGGGACATATTATGCCTAGTTTACATGCGTGCCCAGGCTGGGCAAACGTTCACAATGTCCAAGCCTTTGCAAACGCTTCGATGCCAGTTACATGTTAGCATGTGTGTTAGTGTGTTCTGGACAGGTAAACATTGCAGATGTGGCCATATTTTTATTCAAAATATAAACGGCGGCACTAAACAGCAGCGTGAGGAACTATTTGAGGATCACTGTGTGTTGGCATCCTCTTTGTTGTACTTACCGTCGGAAACATACCAATAAGTATACTATCTCGAAAGGCAATGTTACATATTAATAAGTGGTTGGTCCGTGTGATGACGGATTAAGAATACATAGTGTCACCACCCCTATTCATCCCGTGGGTGTCGTAAGAGCCGACTAAGTGAGAAAACTGCGCTGAACAACAGCACTGCAGGAAGAAGGAAAACTTGATACAAACCCTATACCAACCCGTCTGGCCAGCGTGGTATAGTAGGCCAAAACCTCCTTTCTAAGCAGAGGCCTATTAAATTGTTGGAAATGGCTGTTGATGTGAATAAGTGGCTATTTTAACTTACGTAAATATGTTTCTTTCAATTGAACTTTAAGTGACTTGCACTGGTGTTTACATTCTTCTGCTGGTATTAAATGTATGTCTCTTGACCCACTTAAAGCTAAAAGGAATGAGAAACTGCATTCTGTATCAGGCACACGAAATAGGCTCTGGCTTTGGTCAACTACCATAAACCGTTCAGTGCTCTGTCCAAATTTGGGAACAACCTTTGGTCTGGGTATAACTTGACGAATCAGGTGTGCTACTTTAATATTATTGAACTTCCTGCAACAAAGTATTGTAAATTTAGTTACAGTCAGATCACTTTTGAATTAATTTACGTATAGTTTAGATTTTGATTAGTGTATTCCATGTGTCGTAAAATAACATGCATTTATTTTCGATTATTTCAAAGGGCAAACGGGTACCTGGCGTTAAGCGATAACCAAGCCCCTTCTCGGGTATATTGGAGGCTCTGGGTACATTAGGATAATGAGGCCCCTACGACCTTGACTGAGCACTATTCTATTACAAAGAAAGTATTGTAGTCAGTCATTATCGCTGGAGTTTTCGAAATAAATATGGTTCTCTGTAATAAATATTGATTATTGATTGCTGATCTGGCAGGAATTAACATTCGAGGCCCGCCGGGCACGTGCCTAGACTGCCCAGTGGGAAAGTGGCCTGGCGATACCTTTGTGGAGCCAATACGCTCTTTTCATGGAACTTTAATAACTTACTCTACTCTACTTTTACTACTGGTTGTCTAGTGCAAGTTTACATCAACTCGATCGTCGACGGCGACCGCGTTCAGCGTTGCGATTGGTGAAGAGTACAGTGCGGGCCACGAACGGAAAATAAACTCACACTAGACAAACTTTCCTTTATCTTTACTAAATTGCGTGATGCATATTTACTGATTCCAAAAAAGTATACGATATGCTCACATTTAAATTGGACACACTTCACCTAGCTGCAAAAAAAGCGACATTAATTGGCTTCAAAGAAAGTAGGCCAGAGCCAAGTGTTTTTTAAACTACGTAGAGTTCTCAACCATCTCCCACAACGAAGAAACGAGATACGGATAGATATTTTTTTAAATAGTTTGGTACGGTAACATTTTCGTCAACGTATCTATTATTTATACACAGGTGGTCTGAAAAGTTTCCAACCTCAACACGAAGATGGCAGCACTCGTGAATAAAAGCTAGTGAATTTCATTGTTCATCTGTTGACAGTTACTGACCAAAGTTTCAGCCACTTTCTGATGCGCAGCTATAATGTAACAGTCGTTTGAGTGAGTTGATGTGTGTTTTTATGAAAATTGACAAAATTGAGTATCGAACTGTCATTAAATATATGTTTTTGAAAGGCAATACGCCTACGCAAATCAAAGATGAGTTGGATTCTGGGCAGCTGAATTTAAACGTGGCCGTAAGGCTTGTTAGACGATGAACGTTCGGGACGTCCAAAAACTGCAACTATCGACGAAAACATCGCCAAAGTTCATCAAATGGTGCTAGACAACCGCCGAATTAAAGTGAGATAGATAGCAGAGGTTATGAACATGTCAAAAGAACGTGTTTGTCACATAGACGGGTCACAGAGATGGGTGCATCGCTGGGAGAAGTGTGTAATGTACAAGGAGGCTATGTTGAAAAAATATATGAAAAAAACGTCTTGTATCTTTGTTAGGTCGGAAACTTTTCAGACCACCCTCTTATCTGTATTGCCCATAATCTAATAGTAACCTACGAGGACAAAATATAATGGAGAAATTCTATATTAATTTGGATTTTGGTGAAAAAAATCTTGTTGTTCAAACTAATATTGTAAATGTAAGTTTGTTTCTTATGCTTCAACGCCTAACTACTCAATCGATCATGAAGTTTTTTATAAAAATTGTGAGAAGATATACTGGAACATAGGAATGTAGAATTGCTGTTTAGCTGAGTAGTAACGAACTGTGGAAGAACGGGTGTCATGTCCGTCCAACACAAAGAGAGGATCCTCCGACCAGGCGAGGTGATCATGCCTGGCGGGCCACGAGCCTACGGTTGATGTTGGAAAGTTGTATATATGCTAATCGGCGAGAGAATTCTTCATATCGCTATACAGGATTAGCATTTCTCATTCAGTAGTTACTCCGTAGTTCCGTGTGACTTCGTTAGATGGCGCTGTAGTATGTTTCTTTGTATGTGGGAGTCGCCACAGAACCTTTGGGCAACATTCTTTCTCTTTAGTACTTTCATCGTAAGAGAAATCCAGCTCCGAACCATTTATAGCTTTCATTCAATTCTTATCGCATGATACCCGTACGAACTTGTTAAACGCCTCTTACGGGTGGGTCTTCTTCGGTAACAAGGTAAGCAGGTTTTTTCATGACATAGAGGGCAAACTAGCACACGGGTCACCTGATGGTAAGTGACTATTGCCGCCCATGGACACCTACAACTTAAAATTGGGTTGCCCCCCTTAGAGTCCCTCAAGGGGTTTGAGGCTCCGGTAATCTTGATCGCTCGGTGAATAGCGACTAAAGAATTGCTTAACACCGGTGTTGAGGCTGTGGTATCCCGCCGGTCGAACTGGCCCATTTGTGCTGAAGAACGCCTCTGTCACGAAGCAGGTAGCGAGATATATCGTCAGCATTAGGGCTCGGGCAGCACGACAACGATGATGCGCGACTTCGATCACACCGACTCGCATCGAATTCCAGCTACGAAAACAGTGCAGTGCACGGGCGACTAGCGGTGAGCTACTAATTGCGATCGATAGCAATTCACAATTTTGTGCCCTATTTGGGGTCGGTAGTATTTTTTGATTGCAAACGGCCGGGCGAAATGCATCTATTAGTTCTCCTGCATCCATTAGTATAATAAAATAGATAACTAAATTGCGCAGCGTAGTCGCAATCCATCTCAGATGACTGATTGCTGCAAGTCTAGCGACCTAAGCTGACCTAAGCGAGCGGCTAAAAAATAAATATTTAAACATTACCTACCATATATAGAAATTCTTATCATCTGACAGTCTTTGTTCAAATAAATCATCTGGAGTTTGGTAATATTTATTATTCACTAAAATTTTTGGTGATTCTTTGTCAAAAATATCTCTGTTTTTAACATACAGTTGTTTTAGAGAATCCATGTTGATAGTATTCTGTTCAGTCTGTGAAATATAAAATGACAACAGTCAGTTACCAGCAGCATGAAAACAGAGTGCCACATCAATATATTGCTGATAGTTCCTTCTGGCTGTAGTGATGTGGGCATAGAACAGGCAGGAAATTCTATCAAATACCTTTAAACGAGCAATTCTTATATATGTGTATAAATAATCTGAATCTCAGAAACGGTATTCATGAAATTAAGTATGCAGGTATTATTATTATTACCTTATAGATAAATGGAGCAGTATGTTGCTGGTTGACAGGCTTTGGATCGGTTACCTCCATGACATTAGTGATAGCACTGCATGGCCAACAGTCCATGTCTGCTACCGTGAAGAAGGGGTTCTGAATCAAACATGTCTCATGGTATAAATCTGAAAATAGTTTTATGATTATTTTACATTTATAAAGGTAAAGAAGAACTTAAGATTTTAATCTGAAATCTAAACATGTTTAAATAGAAAATTATGTGTAAGAACATTTTTGTATTTGCACAATAACTTTTTAAATAACAATATCATTATTATAATTAAATTATCGAGTCACTTCTCTGTGTGAAGGATAAATTTTTACCTGGTGAATGAATACAGTTCTTATTTGCAAAACCATCTTTCTCTCTGGGAATTTGTTAGCTTCATAACTGATCTTTTTATAATGCTTGTGCAACTTATTTATATATTCTTTATTATTATTTTTTAATCTACAACATGTTATGAGGCATCTGAAGGTGATGCTATTAAAAATTAGCATTATATTTAATGTATCCACATAATTATCATTCTCTAAAAGTAAGCTCACCTGTTAATGATGGGAACAAAGATATAAATGGAATTGACATTCGTCTAAGCAATTTTAAGCCCGGATAAATATACTCTTGAATATTGCACATTAGAGTGCTGTATATGATTTTATAGTTGTACATAACATAAAACCCAACAATTATGCCTATACATAACATTTTATATTTCGTTGTGAAGTAGCGCCGATGGTTCGCTCCATTTTCACCGGTAGTCCTCAAGGTCTTAAGAGATTGAAAGTACATTCTTTTAAATTCTTCTTCGCTTATCCCAGCGTCCCTGCATTCTTTTTTGATATTCTTTATTGAGTTTGAATACTCTTGCAATACTTCTTCATTCGGCATTCTATGATTTGATTATGTAGTACTTCATACCATTACACATATATCGAGCTCGGGTTTAATTTATGGATTACTGTTAGTATCTATTTATGGTCGGCTAACCATAATATTTATAATAACACAGGTTGACACTGGGCTACTACCAGGCATTCAATGTAACAGAATTTTCAGTATATTACAATGTACTCTGTGAACAGAATGCAACGCAATGTAACGGTTCGGTGACGTTAATGTTGATAAAATGCACACTATGCACAGATAACTAGATAAAGTGTATGACATAATTGACATATCAGCTGATTTCTCAGTTCTGAAATCAGTTTATGACCAGGTTACACGTATTGTTAAACGTGTAACCAGGTCATAAACTGATTTCGGAACTGAAAAATCAGTATAGGACTTCCAATGATGAGAAAAGTTTTTTATCACAAGAACCTCCGTGTTGAAACTTTTTTAGTTTTACATTAAATTATTTTTGTAATTAAGAATTAGTTTTTTGTTAAAATATTTAAATATATAATTTAGGAATTTATTACATTATAATTATTTTTAATGTACATTCAAGTCTGCACTTATCAAGTAGTTAAGTAAATTATAATAATAATAATCATTTTTTGCAGACCCATAGAAACCCATAGAAATTACATTTTTACATACATTTTTTTTAGACTAAATCATTCACTAACAATAATAGCAAAAATAAATAATTTTGTGATTTTTTTTTCTTTGACCAATATTACAAAAAAAATCTATGATAGTTAAACTGCAGATTTGTTAAAAAACATGTACATATTTTCAGCTATCTAACAAGGTATAATAGTCTAGGATAGGATCAGAATCCATAGAAAAAGACTTAGATGAAAGTTCGGGAGTGTTAAGAATTAGCGTAGGTACACTACCTGCAGTTTCTGTCTGTTTTACTAACTGTCGTAGATTTTTTTATAATATTCGTCAAAGAAAAAAAAATACAAATTTATTTCTTTTTGCCATTATTAACCATCTACTTCGGCCAAGTTTGTTAAGTACAATTTTAGTCATTGTGATTATAAAACAATTTATCTACTACACAAAAACAGTAATAAAAGCATAAAATAAAGGATATAAAGGATATAAAGGATATAATAAGTTGTAAAAAAAAATATAAGCCAAAATTTCGGCAATTTTTATAAAAAATCTTAAAAGTCCAATATCTTGAAAATGGTTAGGTTTGGAAAATATGATATTTCATAGTGAAATCTATCAGAAATTATGTCAACTACAACCCCTTAAAGTATTTAGGTCGACTTACCCAGTAATCCTATATATATATTTAAGGACCCTATTGTATTGCCTTTTTTATTATTTTGAAGGCTTTTTAAATAGCTGCACGTGAAGTAGGTATGTATGTTTTTGTTTGTTTTACCTAAGAGTTCTGAAGTAATTGTAGGTAGTAAAAAATAGGAAACATTTTTTTTGTATAAAAGAAAAATATAAGTAGTATACATATAATTAGACACTAATATTGGTTTCTTTCACTAAGCCGATTAGATAAGACAAAGTACTACGTGTTGGGGCCTTCTGATAACACAAATAATGTATAGAATGCTGTCAATACGACGAGATGCTCTCTTACAACTAGGAGTTTTAAAATAAATAATATATTTTCAATTTCAAAACATTATTGATTTATTTGTAAGTTATTGTTAGTGTATTCGCATCGCAAGTGTCAATATGTGATTTAACGTCGGTACAGCTAAGTGCGCTTTAAGTGGTTTAGATATTAGCAGCATTGTACTTACTTGTGAAAATGCACGAAAAAACGATACTAGATGGAATTTGAGAGAAGATCGAATGGCGCATCATGGCGCTGGCCTTTACTTGTGTCGGTTGTATTGCTAAATGTACGTAAGTATTAGTAAATAAAATGATTTGCAGTTTCTACTGCATAGTGTATGTTTTTTGTGCATTAATTAATACAAGGATTTTTTTTAAACCTTAAAATATTTCGAAGGCCATGAACCTGTCATGACCTTCGAAATATTTTCAAGAGTGGTTTTTTGGAAATTGTTACGAAATGTGTGCCGTGAAAAGTCCGTCAGCACATATCAATACTAGACCGTTACGTACATATGTGTGAAAACTCTTATATCACGATAACGTCAAATACTCAAGTGATTGCGTTAAATGTTTTGCGAATAGTGTGATCATTGACCTACGTGCGAATCATCGTGTCATTAAGTAAATAGGATATGCTCTCCATGTTTTAATTGCTATTGTTGATAAGAAAAAATATCACGTGCTGGCATTGTTGCAGTCTTAAACAATACTAATACATAGAAATTAATATAGAATATAACATAAAAATTAATTGATACAATTACATAGAAATTAATCTAGTAGGTATATAGTCTTTGGACAGAATTAGGATTTTTCGAGAATCAGATAACGTGGCCGGGATAACATTGCCTAATGTTACTTGAACAATGAATGTAAATAATTATTTTTGATTTCGGTACTCGTCTGCAGGCTTTGCAAAGCAGACGGACCAGTGGATATATCGAAAGACCCAATATGTGACGCACTAAGTATCTGACAGGAAATTAATCGAATCATCAACGCTTTCCCCAAAGAAAGACAATAAGTGTAACACTTTCCATGTTCAGTATGCACCGCGAGGAGTACCATAATACCATTGGCTTTCTGTAGCTTCATTATAATAAATCAATGTTAAGTGGATATTCATATCCTGCCAAGTACCTACGCATTTCAAAGTCGATAAACAGAGTCACGGCTAATAAATGCGATAAATCTTATCCACCTCTAGTTCCAAGGTTTGCTTCTCTCTAACATTGCAGGACATGACTTTTAAAATGGTAGCCTGTAGACGGGACGGGTAGACAATCATGTGAGATCGTGTGCATATCTCTAGATTAGTTCCATAGTCGGTTAAAACAAAAACACAGTCGTATTTGAAAATGTACCTAGACGATATTAACGCCTCCCAAATAACAAGTAATAAATTATTTCATTTACACAAGAAAATTGGTAATCAAACACTAGATCGGACAAATTTTAAGTGATTACAATTGTCTATGTACACTTACTACACTCGCATTACTGTTTGGCGATTTTTATCTGCATCAAAAAGCTGCTGCTGATGCTACAATACATTCAAGACATTTGAAATGTATAAATCAGAAACCCCTTTCAATTCCGAAACTTTCATAATCGTACCTAAAGTTAAATAATGTTTGCAAAATTGGATAGCTATAGTTTCTTTTAAATACACTTATTAGTTTTAGTACAGATTATAATGATTACATTAATAAACTTCTTTACAACATCTTTAAAACGTTTTATAAGTTTAGAGTCTTAATAGATACGAATCTTTTTTGCGTACCTAGTACTAGTTTCAATAGGAAATTTATTATGAATCTATTCTTCATTATACCTAAATCTAGGCATAATGGGAAATGAATAGTTTAAATGTATTAAATATTTAAAAATGTATTATCTTTACTGGTAAAAACTAATCTGAAATATTTAACAATACAGAAAATTAATTTTCTTTTATAGCGTTGTGTTAACTTTGTCAGTTGTAGTTTTACAAAATAGTGACTATTTCATAGCTAGTAACTTAGACACTTATTATGACAACAGTTTTTTCATATAACTAAATATCGTCACGAGTCTCTTATCAGAATATTGATAAATAAATCAGTGTCAGTGGATGTGTTATTAAATACCTATATGTATTTAAGTCGATTGACTACCTAATTACGATATATAACTAATGCGAATAGCACACACACATATACGACTCGTACCTTCGTAACATATGGTACTTTTAATGTGTATCAATATATAATTTTTGTGTTTAGTTAGTTGGGAACCTACATGTTTAAGTAGTGTTTGATTGTTCTTACTAGCAATCAAACCTACTCACGTAATTTATTGATTGGGATTGTCTTTGTTGTACAAGAAGTATGAATAAGTTGAGCACATTTATCGGCACACCTTATAAGAAGTTAAATAAATGCGTGGAATTTTTCCACGTTCAAGTGTTTTTGTAGGAAAGAATAGGGAACTTTAAGATAAATATATATGTAATTCCAATATTATCTCTCATAAAAAAGGTGTTTAGACTTAAATGTATAAATATTTATCTTAGTTATTCCTTGCTGATCATGTGTTTATAGTCAGGGTGCATCTAATAACATGTGAATTATAAAACTTATAACTGCCTAGTTAGTAAAGGTGGATTAATAGTAGCATGTCCGTGTGGTGACGGATTAAGAATACAGAGTGTCACCACCCCTATTCATCCCGTGGGTGTCGTAAGAGCCGACTAAGGGAAAAAACTACGCAGGACAACAGCACTGCAGAGAGAAGGAAAACTTGACACAAACCCTATACCAACCCGTCTGGCCAGCGTGGTATAGTAGACCAAAACCTCCTTTCTAAGGAGAGGCCTAAGTCCAGCAGTGGACTATTATAGGCTGTTGATGTGGTGACGATGTAATGTGATTCATTAGACTAGCTGATGCCTGTGACTTATATAGTATATAGAATAGTGTTAAAATTTGAGCAGAACTTTTTGAGTTTTTGAAGCGTACTCAAACTAACTTAACATTTTTACTTAATATTTACCCATAAGCTTACGTATTCTGCAATTGCTGGGTGCAGTTGTGTCTTAGCATTTATGAACCCTAGAACAAAATATATTTAAAATTCCACTTTGAAGAATTATAAAAAAAATACATGTGTGTTATATAGTTGATTTTAGCTTCTATCATTCGCGATTTTAATGTGTGATCGGTATGTAGTTACAAGTGAATAGCAGTGCATCCACCTTATAAATAGAGCATTAACCAAATGCGGTTCCATAGACTTTAGTCTTATTAGTCTATTGTGTGGCTTATAGATGTTACGTGCATAGACCACACAGAAGTTCAGCATGAGGCATTATTAAAAGTAGGCATGGGACATGGGTAATTTATCATTCAATTTTTACGTACGTAGGTTAGGGTTAGGTACTACTTACTTACTACTCACGCGTTGTTGCCAATAAGCTGTTTTACCCTATTTCGTCTATTCAAAGGTAAATCTAGTAATTATTTTATTATATAATTAAAAAAATACTGTGTTGGTTAGACGCTATTTAGCAGTAAATCTATTACTGCTAAATAGCGTCTAACCTACCTATCTAGCAACCATTGTGAAGAGAAATAAAGTATTATTATTATTACCCTAACCGAAAAATGAATACGCAAAAATCAAATGATAAATCACAGTTCACTGTGATTTTGACCCATGTCTAATTAAAAGCTCACTATTTGTGACCACAGCTATGTTGAAATGAACACATAGAACTGCAATTATACTGGAATTATTTTCAATTCAATTATTAGGTCGGGCCACTCGCCTGTTAGATTGATAGGATAAGGGACCGGTTAACAGATTATCACCTCGTTGATTGTACCTGCCTGGTTCCGTAGCGCAAAAATAGATAAGTACATTCAAGTAACACGAATCTATTCTTTCAGGTCACCTTGCCGAGTTTGGTTTACGCCTACGGTGTCATTTTAGTTTATCTTCACGAACTTCAAGTTCCAATATGGCTGGGATTCGCAACTCCAACTATCTATATACTCCTATACAACTTTACACGTAAGTTTGTTATTGTATTTTATCAAGCAAAGTAAGGTTTATGTCTTTCTCCTTAAACATGTGATAATTTTAGATTATTTATTTATTGTGTGCTTTATTGAGTATGAGACAAATAAAACTTTTATGAGTTGTATAAAACCAAACAATCAACAATGTAGGAGACTTTATATTTTTCTCCTTCCTCAAGAATCAAACTAACTCCATACCAAATTTAATCTAAATCGGTTTAGCGGTTATTGATTCCCTATACAAACTTCCAACCCCCTTCAAGAACAATTTCTGGGGTAAAAACTATCCTATGTCCTTTCCCAGAACTCAAACTATGTCTATAACAAAACTTTATGCTAATTGGTTTAGCGGTTTAAACGTGAAGAGGTAACAGACAGACAGACAGACACAATTTCGCGTTTATACCTAATATTAGTGTGGATGGATTAAATAAAAAATATTATCTCATTAAAAGTTACTTCAAAAATCAAGAAACCAATGAAATAGTCAAGTCTACTACGATCAGATGACACAAAATACAATAAGACCATATTTATCAGAAGTCTAAGTACATAATTGTAAGGTTGGCTAGTGTTGGGTCTTCAACGGAATAAAGAAAAATGCTCCCATGATTTGTACAGGGCTTTAATGTCCAAGATAACTTGTTTTTTTTACAATTTTGTGTATCGCAATGCTCGCTCGTCGGAAGTCGGAAAGAAAAGAAAAATATGTTATGAGATACTTAGTTACAATGCATAGTGATGCGATACGAATGATAAGAATAGCAAAGACAAACTATCGGTGTATACGGCGTTAACTGCTAGTAATATCTAGAAGTTTTGTATGAGTTTTATGTTCTTCAGAAAACTACAGTGTCATTCATAGATAGAAACTCAAGCATTGATTGTCTCAACAACGTTTGCTCTGTGCGATACTCATATAAATTTTAATTAGGTAAACTTGTTATTTGTATTCCAAAGTAAACTGATTTTATCACAGTATTTAATAATGTTGTAATTTTGGATCTAAGAAATGAATGAATCAAAGAAATAGTAAGAAGTTGATAAACTAGGTATTTCTTTTATTTCAGAATGCTGGTTCAGAGAAGCGGCGGACTCATGGGGCGGTGTAGTGGGTTACCGAGTTATGGCTTTCCTTGGACTCATGATGGTAGTCTCTAGCTTGCTCCTCTGCGCAATAATACCTATTAAATTACAGCCTTATGTCTATGGCATTTTAGGAGGTAATATACTATCAATATTTAATCGCTAAAATTGTAATAGTATTATACACGTATAAGGTAAACTAGGATGTATACTATGTGTCATCATCATCGCAGTCGAAAAACGTCCAGTGCTGGCCTCCTCTGGTATAGGCCTCCTCAACGTTCGCCACGACAACCAGTCCTGTGCTGCCCGCATCGAATGGCTTCCTGCGATCTTCACCAAGTCGTCGTGCCATGTATCATAGTCGTATGGTAGTCGATTACCTACTCCATGCATTTGCTGATATTGGCCCTGTAAAAACATTGACTAACTAGAATAATGTATGAAATTAATTCATTAAACATAAACTGTAACATAAAAACATAAAAAAGAACTTATAATAAGGATACTCGAGTAACTTAGCGTTCCTTGGAATTATTCGGTACAGTATAACTTAGTCCCCAAACCCCTCTTACTGACGTTCAAGGTTCTCGTGCCTAAACTACTTAATTGTTTGTTGTAGGTTTGGGTTCATCATTGATATCTGCGCAAATAGATGCTGTGATATTTGATACATACGATTCCAGACTCGGAATAATTCGAGGTGTTTGTTTCGCCGGCCAGGCCGTAGGACAATCAGTATTTCCACATATTATAACAGCACTAGTAAATTTCTATGGCTACTCTCATTTCTACATAGTTCTAGCAGCAATTATGCTGCAAACCTTACCAGCGATAATGTTACTTAGAGTTGAAGAGAAATTCCTAAGACCGATCTCATTTTCTCGATACAGTGACGTAGCAAAAGCTTATTCCGTCTTTAGTAATGAAGGAATAGACCATACATACTATTCAACAGAACTGCAATTACATGACTTGAGCAAAAAATGTTGGAAAAGTCCATCAGACGATAATTTACACCGGAATTCAGAACATGAAGAAGGTTTTGAATATGACAGTGAAACAAATGGAACTATTACTCCACCCCCTAGTCCTGAGGAGAAACGTAGAAATATCTTTGGGGTAGAAATATTACCGGAAATACCCGAAGAGAATGAGGATAATGTAAGCGATGAAAGTGATAGCGAAGGAACTGAAAACGATGACAGTGAAAGCGATGATTCTTCTAAAATAGAAGCTGGCTCGTCTAACAATAAAAAGCGACTCAGCATTGCTATTAAGAGACTGAGTATGTTAAGTGACAATTTAGATGATTTTATATCAAAACAATATAGGAGAGATTCAAACACGAGTGAACGAGACGAGGCCGATCACAGAGAATACACCGAAATTGAAGTGACTTATGACAATATTTCACCGGTAACTGACATTCAAAGGGAAAAAGTATTTAATTCATTTAGTTTTCGTTGTCAGTCTGCTTACGCTGGATTGAGGAGAAGAATATGGATGCCCTCGTACAAAATATACATATTGAAAAGAAGATTAACGTATTTTATGTATAATATTAATGACACGTTTCTAAAACCGCTAACGAGGTCTTTGTCCAGCTGGAAGTTTTATCCATCTTTATTGATGTACTTTTCTAAATTAAGTTTAACATCAGTAACGATGGTTTCACTCCCTATGATTGCTTCCGAAATGCACCCAAAAATACCAATAGCGGATTCAAATTTCATCATGACTCTATATGGCTTTTCTTGGATATGTTTCTTAATGTGTACTCCTTGGCTGGCGCAGACGCCTAAACGAAACTTCAAGTATGTAGCACTAGCTGGCTTACTCATTTCTACACTCGCATGTATTCGTAAGTATATGATTGCATACATAGATATTTAAGACATGTCATTCAAGCTAACTAACTATAAAAGAAGCTAACTCAGAGATACTTTTATAGTCTACGCTCTAGTACTTAATATTTTTATTTATATTTATTTTTATGTATACTAATGAGAATGCCCTTGAGTTAATAGATTTCTAATTTTTTTCTGTGGAGTTTGCCCTACTTATAAGAAAGTAGTACAAATTACTATGCCATTTAATGGCGGCTGCAATTACTGGAGGGCAATGCTGTTGTGTTATTGATATTGTTTAGTTTAACTTATTTATATTTTACAGTTTTATCGAGAGCTGACAACCACGACTCATTTTCTATTGGTTGTGTAATAGCCGGGCTTGGATACGGCGCAATATCTTGTTGCTGGGAATCAACCGTACAAGATTTCGTGGGAGCGCGCAAGTGGCCTAAACTCCATAGTCCTTTGGAGACGATCTCCGGGTTAAGTCTCGCCATCTTCGTGATAGGGATTTCGTTTATTGTCGATCAGCCCCAAGGATTACAGTTCGCCCTATTCATTTTAGCCATCATATTATCTATAACTACATTTGTATGGCTAATAGTAGCAGTGTTTTATGTATACACAACTAAAGTGAAAAAGATTAAGATGGGCAAGCGTTGACCAAAACAAGATGGTTCTAAGTAAATTTTTAGTATGGCTACAAGGCCATGCAATTGAATGATGATACTGATTCTAATAGAAATTCAAAGGGTTAAAACAATAATATAATAATAGACTGTACATTTTCGAAGTGTCAAATAAGGTTAAATGAGATTATTATTATTTAATTGAATTCACTCTTTTGTCTATATATATCTATGGTGAACATAAATTAGCACAGATTTCTTTCAAGATTTAATGGGTTGACGATGCGTGGCATATGTGGCCGTACTTTGAGAAACTAATTTTGTAAATAACAAAAAAACCGTGATACGGATTACAACCTGAGTTGTGCTTCAAATGTGATAATTAGTTTATTAAACGTAACTTAGATATTAAAAAATAATTAAATACGTATTTAATCTATTTAATTAATGAAATAAAATATATTTTGATGCACGTAGTGATGGAATCTTTTATTTTATTACCCAACTAGGCCAGAAGGTTGTCAATTATAAGTAGGTAACTGTACATTTTCGCGAAGTCGGGTTTAATGTCGGTTTTTAATAATTAGCTTATTTTTAACTTGCTTCAATATGCAAAACACCTCTTTACCGTGTACTTTACATCGTGTTACGAGTACCTACCATATTTTCTTTGGGCTGCTCCATAATCGGTCGAATGAACATACATATATGTATATAGAAAATGAAGAATGATAATAAGATCAAAGGGTCAATATGGGACTGCGTGTTCAATGGGGTTTTCCTCACTTATACTTACGAGTTCTTTGATTCCATTGTTTGGTAAATAATGCTTAAAACAATCATTGTGGCTGGGTGCAAATGAGATACTTGGCAGATGGGAGAGATGAACAGAATCTATGAATTCAACAAACATTTATGAATTCTAATTTGAAAATATTTGATTATCTAATATATAAAATTCTCATGTCTCTGTCATACTCCTCCGAAACGGCTCGACCGATTTTCGCGAAATTTTGTGTGCATATCGGGTAGGTCTGAGAATCGGCCAACATCTATTTTTCATACACCTAATTTTTTTTGTCAATTTTTTTTAAAATAATGTATATGGCAAAACAACGTTTGCCGGGTCAGCTAGTCTTATACACGGTGATTTTTTAGGCGTTTTGGAAACGAAACATTTTAATTTGGAATCGTCTATAGTACCAATAAAAATGATTAAATCAGTTGTAATGTTGTCTAGAAAAAAGTTTCAGTTTTAATATTCATCTTTACTCGATCGACTTGGAAAGTAGTAATGGACTGATCATTCATTCATTATCTTATATGAATGAAACACGTCCGTGGGCGTTTCGGCGGCCGCTGCGCACCGCTGACGCTAACAGCAGCTGATAAAAGTATACCTATAGGCGTGAGCTAGCGAGTACTTACGTAGATAGACTCCAATTTGTCCTTCATACTTTACACGGGCTTAGGATCGTCGGAAATACCTATTTTATTTAAACTTTTTTTCGATTATTAACCACGATTGTTCTTTTCACAACAAATCAATTTATCAACGGACTGTAGGTATAAATATTTCAAGCGTATTTAAAAAATCGGAGCTATCTACAGCATAATTAACTTACATACCTATTTACACTATTTACACTTCTCTGTATCGAAGCAACTGCTCAAAATGGAGTCCGCTGCATTCAATACACAAACGTCCACGTTTAATGCAATTGTTTTTTAATTTTCTTAATGTGTCTATCACTTTTCACTTTATCAAAAGCGTCCACTATCGCAATGCGTAAATTATCACGGCTTTCATATTCCCGTGTATAAACAGGTATTTTTATTTCCGACCATATGAAAAAATCCAGGGGCGTTAATTCCGGGCTTCTAGGTGGCCAAGGCACTGGCCCTCCTCGACCTATCCACCGATCACTAAACTCATTGTCCAGGTATGCACGCACTACACTCCGGCGAATAATAATTTAAACGTCCTTGACCTTGCGCGTGAGTATAGTATTTCTATTCGTAGTATTTACCTACTTGCGATTGAAAAGCCCAACTACTGGTTCTCATCTTTTCTCTGTAATCGATATGAATATCGACTTTGATGATAAAAAATATATATATATTATTAAATTAACGTTATATAGAGCTTCTGTTACTGATAAATAACTCAAAATTTTCTTTTCCAAAACGCTTTCAAAATCACCGTGTATATAAAATTCTCGTGTCACAATGTTCGTTCCCGTACTCCTCCGAAACGGCTTGACCGATTCTCATGAAATTTTGTGTGCACATCGGGTAGGTCTGAGAATCGGACAACATCTATTTTTCATACCCCTAAATGGTAAGGGTAACTCATCCCTAAATTTTTTTTTAGGCAAAGCAACGTTTGCCGGGTCAGCTAGTTTTTATATAAAATTGTGCTTTCACACCAAACTCATTTTTATTTGTATCATGTAAATTCTTAATTCTCTTGGTCGAAGTGTTACAAGAAATACATTCACAGTGCCTTTTCACTTAAAATAGGACCTTGCAATATTTCGTGCTTTAAGGCTTCGGTTTTTGGGTTGCTTCTTCATCTGTCTATTTAATTTCTCAAGTTACACCTATATTGTTGCCAGCTGTCAAAACTATCTAAAAATTTTAATTAACGAAGATCGATTTCGAAGATACGCAATAGCAATAACTAATAAAATTGGTAATGTAAGATGACATGTATCTTCCGTATTTAATACGAAAGTTTCGATGTGTGTTTGGAGACGGAAATACCATGTTTTCAGTATTGGCGGTTATATAACCACGCGTCATAAATATGGATCGTAATTTAAGATCTGGTAGCCGACGGAATACTCTGTTCTGAAGCTCCTGTGTACCTACAGAAGTAACCTCAAAGACCTGGAGATTTATATTTCCAGGTCTTGGAGCTTAATATAATCACACACGCTCTCTTATAACCTTTTATCGCAATTTAATTGTTATTATGACACAACTGTTTTTATAAAGGTAGTAGTAAGTAAGGTAGTTTATAGGTCTAGTAACACACACGTGTTAAATGACACAAATACCTACCTACATTCTTTATGAAAATAGTTGTGATGTGTTTTGAACACAGATGCAAGAGAGTGTAAATCTACTCAATCTATTTTTGTAAAAGAATGCAATAAAATTAGATTTAAATAACAAAAAACGTGTGCAATATACTCTGTAATAATTATCTTGATTATTATGACCCGTGGAAAACAGCACTGCGATTAAATGGAAAATTTTGTTAAGTTACTGCGATTGCGCAATGCAAAGCAAATAAAAGTCGCATTTTAACTGGTATTGGGTAAACAGCAAGTAAGTCATCTGATAGGTACAAATAGATTCACCACATGTAGTTGAGGTAGGTATAATCTCCAGCTGTTTATTAGTTAGGTAGGTACACACATCTTTCCTCGGGATAGGGCCTAGTCAGGTGCGGCATCGATCCGTGGGGGTCGTCAAATCACGTGGACCGGGTCCTTCCCTCCCGAGGCCGGCTGTCGGGGTGGTGTTTAGTGGAAACACCACATACTCCTGGCTCCTGCGTCCCTTAGGAGCCTGAGATCCGAAGGGATTTTCATCCCAGTCACCAAAAAAATAAATAAATAAAAAGTACACACATCTATTCTATATTATTTTAATATTAGTTTTATCATCATCGTCTTTCTACCCTTCTCCCAAAATTAGGGATCTTTGCAATGAGTTCACGTCTTTCATTCTCCTTGATCACTCGATATTCTCTTTCACACCCTCCTCCATTTTATTGCGAAATGATTTTGGCTTTTTCTTTTATGACCGGCCGCCTAGTTGAATCTAAGTACCTAGTATATATAGGTATTTTTAATAAAATAATTTAAAGAGTAAAAGTAAAAGTAAGATAAACCGCCTAGGTTTATCTTTTATTTATTGTTTATGTATATTACTCGCACATGCCTGGTCTGATTTGTATTTTTTTTAATTTGAAGTCTAGCGAACTAACTAGACAGAATACAGTTAAGTTGATCATACTGTCATTAGTTATGACTTGATTTGAGTGCGCGTAACTACATTAAAGTTTATGTTGTCAGTAGGTAGATTATACCTACCAGTCATCAAAATCAATACCCATAAACTTATTTACTCATCATTGGTCTAACTAGATACTCTTTTACACTGAGGTAGAATATGGCCAATATCGGTAATCTTTAGGCTTGTGAGGAAGAAAACTGCTAAATTCAGCACACTATACAAACTCTAAACTGAATTTATTTACTCCTGTGAAAAATACGTTAATTCATTTGACCGTATCTGTCACGTGAAAGACAGACGAATCAGCTTGCGTATGGATTTATAATGTTAGTAAAGATTAGATTAGATATATTTCAAACAATTTTTGCGTGACTACTACTGGTGTAGATAAAAATATAGTCACCAATTGCGATTCATATGCAGGAGAAATAGGCATTAGAGGTAAATATTACTTAAGCTTAATGAATTCTACAAACATGACAAAATTATTATGTGTATAGAATACTGTTAAATATTATCCAAACAGAAAATTGGTTTAATTTTGCGGTATAGTAGCTTAAATCTAGAAAATATTATTAAGGCTCGTCAACACAACAGATTTCTTGATTGATTGTGATTGACTTGAAGCTATCGGACTACGCCAGAATTTAGATAGGGTAACCTTTATTGGAGGCAACCCACTGCTCGACCTACTACTGTAAGTGTCATCTCGATCCTAATATGCCAACAAACGTATATTCATAACGAGGTGACACAATAACACAAAATACATGATCCTAAGGAATGTAGGTAGTCTTACTATCATCTTACTAATTATAAAACTATTCTGAGTGATATGAGATGTATGAGTTCTTATTACTTCTTATAAATAGTGGTTTTAAAGTGTTTTTGAATTGAATCATACTTCCTTGTACGTAAACTGTTCTCGCTTTATTTATTTATTCTGATGATAGATAAAATCTTGCGGCATTCAATGATCTCAGAATGTCGTTTCTTTTCTTCAACTTTTAGACCTTTTGAGTGCTATCGACAAAAATAATTATTCAATAATGATATAGAACAAATTTCCTTATTTTGCAGATTCTAGGTATTTAATATCGTTGACAGTTATAATCAAACGACTCCTAATTGTTTCACCGTAGGTACCTACTTACAATTGTTAACGTACAATTGTATTGTTTTGCTTTGCTTTTTGTTTGAAATGGTGTAGGCACTTTATACTGGAAACTACTCCTGACTTCGCTCTCGAAAAGCACGAGCAAGCAACTTAGTATGGCATTTTTTAAGTAATCTATATTGGTAAGAATACATAAGGGATGCACCTGAAAAATCTCTCAACAGTTAGTATTCTTGAATTAGGAGAAGCAATTATCAGATCTTTATTTAGACAAAAGATTGCGAATACCCAAAGGGTAAGGAGTATTTTAAATAAGGAGTAATTATATCAGAAAAGCTTAACAGGATTTAATTGTCTTTTAGGTATCACGTGAGAAAAATAAATCTCGAAGATTTTGAGTTTTATTAAGTAATTTGCGCATGTGTTAGATCTTCACATTGCAATTCGTAATGTCCATAATCTGTAGATTATGTAGGTATGCGATTTTTAAAAATGCGTGTTATTTTTATATCAGATCAATGACACAAAGTTGTAAAGTTCATTTACAAATTAAACCATTCAAAAGAATTATACTGTAACCTGTGTAATTTGTTTGTTTGATTATTAATTTGCTAAATCTTGAGTTGTTTTTTACTGGTGTAAAAAAAAATCCCCTCTTCATACAAACTACAGCTACACCTTTTGATCTGATTTTAGATATTTTTATTCATCTAAAATGAAAAAGGAGATGATTAAGACGAATATAATGAAAGCTGCACCTAGCTTGCCAGAATTTCTTGTCTGTGGGTAAAAAATTGAATTGTAAAAACCTTAAATAATTTCATATATGAGCGTTGCGAAAAAAAATTAATCGGATTTCGAAGGAGGCCGCAGACCAAAAATGTGAAATCGATCAAGCTGTTAAGTTTTGGTAGAAATATTGTAGGTGCTGGTTAATAATCTATTGGGGTAAACCCTAAGCCTATCGCGATAAAATTTAACCTAAATACCTTAACTTAGTATACCTAGTATAATCTATTATATCATTACTTATGATGTATGAAATCTTTTCTTACATTTTCATGACATTACTTAGTAGTACTGTGGTAAAATACACCTAATTAACTCGTCTAAAGCAAATAATCACTTGTTATTAATAAGTTTTCTTCGTTGAACAGTTGTATCACAACAATATGTAGTGAGGAGTCGCAGGAAATAAGGTGTCAACTCTATTTACACAGTGTCGACCTAATCTTACATGATGTAGGTAAACGTTATGCTAACAATGCTGCCTCACAACCATATTTACATCTATTCACAATGTACTGGCTCTGACATTCGCGAGACAAACTGCACGAGAAAGTCGACTCTCAACGAAATTAAAACGAATAACTGTGGCCATTTTTCGAATTGTGTTAAAGAAAATGGCTCACGAGTTCATCGACCTTAAAGGATTTTTGTTTTTGGTAAGTTGTTTAAGTTTTGTTTTTATATAAGTTAAGCTAGATCACACTTAGGGTTGAAGAAATTGACTGTATGATTAAAAAAGAATAGATTAGCTATGAAAAACAGTTTTTTTAGAAGTACTTATTTAATTGCTTACATTAAAAATCTTTTAAACGTTAATAAATAAACTGATAAATTTGTAGTTGAATTTAATACGAAGAAGTGATGTTTATGTACATAAAACCTTCATAGATAAGAGAAAGGTTGCAAATAGTTGCATAAGAAAAACATGATCTATTTAAATCAGCCTATGCAAAAAATACAATACATTGGAATTAATTGCAGCATTATAATAATTATAAATACTAAATTTTCAGGTATTAATTACAATACCACAAACGTTATCAACGAATATAGACTGTGGCGGCAAACCTTTCCACTGTCTTAACACCACTCATTTCATGATATGTGTGGACTTAGGCGGCGGAGTGTCGTCCACTATTGACGATTTCATCATACCGTGTCCTCCGACAACAGTATGTGAGAAAAATAATCGATTTGAATGCGAATTTCCCAAAATTGAAGCGTTCACTGCAGACCTCAATGTTATTGGTGTTTCTAATGGATACGATAAAAGTGCGAATGACAAAACAATACCACCAGATAAAAGGACTACCGTATTGCCATTGCCAGAAAAAGCAACCGTGACAGAATTGCCCACGAAAGATAAATCAATGTCCAGTTTTAATAGTGAAATATTAGAACATTTGAAAGACGAATTTACAGGGGGCAATGAAAAGTTTTTTGATGAAGATATTATTCCACTATATAGCGTAGTAAGTTTAACAAATAAAACTGATGAAACAAGTTTTGTTAGTCCTGACATAGAAAAATTAATTACTACAACTGATAAATATTCTCACACCAGTGCGAATACCTCAACTAATGGGGTAGTGAGTGCTTCTCGAACAGATATACCGACATTAAAAGATAATAAAAATGATACTGATGAAACAAGTTTTGTTAGTCCTAACAAAGAAAAATTAAATAGCATAACTGATAAATATCCTCACACCAATGCGAATACCTCAACTAATGGGGTAGTGAGTGCTTCTCGAACAGATATACCGACATTAAAAAATGAAGAAAAAAATACTGATGAAACTAGTTTTGTTAGTCCTGACATAGAAAAAATAATTACCACAACTGATAAATATCCTCACACCAATGCGAATGCCTCAATTAATGGAGTAGTGAGTGCTTCTCGAACAGATATACCGACATTTAAAGATAATAAAAATAATACTGATGAAACAAGTTTTGTTAGTTCTGACATAGAACAATTAGTTACCACAACTGATGAATATCCTCACACCAATGCGAATAGCTCAACTAATACCCCATTAGTAACCGCTTCAAGAACAGATATACCGACATTAAAAGATAATATCACTTATACTGAAGAATCCAAAACTGGAAATAATTATAACACTGGCAATAAATTTAACACCACAAAAAAAATTGGTCAGTCGTATGTTAATGAACTAAACCAAACTATAGATAAGTTTATCGGGCTAGCAGAGTTGACTAATTCACTGCCAAACTCGACAGTCAGTATTAGAAGAATCTATAATATAAATCTGGATCCTGACAATTCATCATATATTTATCAATCACAAAATCTTGATTTACAGAAGAAAATATTTAAAACGGTTCCTATATCAAGAAACGTTAATCATCTGACAACCGATACACTTAGCACATCTGAAAAAGTTGTTTCAATTAGCTCTAAATATAATGCTACCGATATTGTTGATAATCAAACTGCAATTATTGGACTTACTTTAAACCCAAATACCACAGCCACAAATTACAGCGTAGAACCTGAAACTGAAACTGAAAAATTAAGAACAGATTACGCATATAGCCCTATACTTAAGTCAGTTACAGCCAATTCGATAGGAATAACTACAAGGAATATGACTTCGAACACTTCTGGTAAAGATCTTCCGAAATTAAAAGAGACCGATACTTCTACTAAAGCATTAATAATTATAAATGAACTTTATAATAGCAACAAACGTAATACAACTAATAAAATAGATCAGAATAATATTAATAGTTTAAACCGAACTTTAGATAATTTCATCATAAAGTCGGATTCAACAACATCACAGGATCTTTTTAATGTATCAGGCAAACTGGAATTACAGCAAAAGGTGCATAATCCAGATCTTATTCCAGTGACAGATAGTGAAATGATATTTGATGCACTTACCACAACTGAACCAGGGTTAGTAACAAGCCCTAAATATAATGGTAACGACAACGTTGATTACGTCATTGTATCTGAGGCCGTGGTAAGGAATTCACTACCTGTGAAAACCAATAGCACAGTTTCGAACTATATAGTAAAGTCTGTTTCTGAAGTATTAAAAAATGATGACGAACATAAAGATGTATTAAAGCCAGTTACTGCGAGTCCCGCGGAAAAAAGTACAGCATATTCTATTTTGAGTTTTAATTCAGGAACAACAAATTCAAACCTAATATTTGCTGAAGTTACGAATATTAATCGTACTTTTTATTCCTCTGATAAACATGAAACACTACAAGATGTCGTCACTACCAATCTATCAATTAAGCCTGTAAAACAATCGGTTTTAGAAAGTCTTTCTACAAATGATTCAAATAGTACAATGCAGGATTCAAATGGATTAACATTCAAAATGAAGAAACCTCATACATTAGTAAACGATGTTAACAAAATAGGGTTTAGAAGTAATATAGAAATAAAAAGCAAAGAAAATGTTACAATTTTGAATGAAGGAAAAATTAAAGTTGGTATTAATAAAACTAAAGAAGACTATTTTCCAACAAAGGGTAATATAGACCAAATGATTATTCATAACATGAAGCCTACTGCGTTTCAAACAACTTTACTTAATAACAATCAAACATCAGCAACAGAATCACCAATCACAAGCATGGACGAGCAAATAATTTCTACTGGCGACAATTACACACATAACTTAAATTTGTTTGTTGAGACTAAAGTTCAAAGTGTTCCACTACAAGAATCAATATCATACTATACACAAACAATTGAAAAACCAAAAACAATTGCTTCACCATTGGTAAATCATTTGACTACCTTTGACGAAATTTCTTTGGGCATAGAACCTACTACAACTATTGACTTTATACAACAGCAATCAAACCATACGGTCACGATACATAATGTATCGATAGATTTAGAGGTAGAATCTAGTTCATCACTTCCTACAATAAAATCGATTAATATTAATGTAACAAACAAAGCTACACAAAATACAACACCTGTACTACAATCTGAAGCTGTAACATATACTGCTGATAACAGCAATCATCAAGATACCATTTTTGGGAAAGGAAGTAATATTTCTAGTGCTACTGCAGAAATAAATAAAACTCTAAAAACAGTAGAAAGCAATGATACCCATTACCAGTCAGTACCAGTCAGTAATGAATACCCATTACCTACACCTAATAATACTGCTGCTTCAGAACAGGTTAGCAATTTAAGGAAATTACTAAATAGTGTTAATCTGACACTTCTCATAGGACAAAAAGACGATGTAACTTTGTTACCATTAGAAAGTATGACTGAAAATGTAGAAGTACATAAACAAAATATCACAAATATTATGGAAACGACTACGGAACTAGATGGCACGAGACGATACCCACTAATAACTGAAAGTGTAACAGAGAGTATTTATTCAGCAAATATGAGCGCAACAACTCCATCTAGGAATGACATAGTAGTAAGCACTCAACCTGTGATGGAATATACAAAAGACGAGAGTACTTTAAACGAAAAAGAAGGCAATACAATCACTCCAAAAAGTGAACTTTATGCAGGATTACTTAATAGCTCTGCAAACTCATTGTTTCATGCTTTAAGTAAAACGAATGAATCAAATCGCGCACCGACAACATTAGTAACGGATGTGAGCCAAGATATTCATTTGTCACTTAATAATGAAGGTAAAACAAAGAACAACATTACTACAGCTACTGTTATAGATATTATAGAATTAGACACAGGCTTTGGTGAAAGTAAATTGCTGACATCAAATGCTACGACCAAAAAGCCGCCAACACCAGATGTAACTCAAAGTACTCAGGAAGCAATCACTCATGAGTTAGATAGTATATCAGCTTTGCGCCCACCAGTGGTATTAACAGACAAAAAGCAGCCAAATATTGTGGTAAATTACATTTTGTCCAGTACTATGGGATCAATTGGTCAGTACAATAAGGACGAATTGGTTAAGGTTGCGAAGCAAACTGTAAACTCAAATTTAGCAAATAGTACTGAGCAAATAGTGATTAATGATTTAGATAGTATATCGACAGTACCGACGCCAAATGAAAAAGGTCCGGTTAAAAAGCAACCAAGTATTTTAGTAAACCGAAGTTTGCTGAGTACTATGGCATCAATTAGTCAGCCTGATTCGGACGATTCAGGTAAAGATAAAACGCGTATAGAGAACTCCGACGTAACACAAAATACTAGGATCTTTTTGGCTATTGATTCAGACCGTACAGCTACATTATCATCATCACATGAATCTACTGCCAAGAAGGAACCAAATATTACAGTAAAACGAATTTTACTCAGTAATATGACAGCAATTACTCAACCTAATATAGACAATTTAGGTAATCTTGAAACGCCAATTGGGAACCTAAATATATCGGAAAGTACTCGGCAAACAGTTGCTAATAATTTAGATAGTACATCGCTGTTATTGACGCCAAGTGAGTATATGACTCAAAAGAAGTCAAATACTACAGTAAATGGAATTTTGCCCAGTACTAGTCTGCTTAATACAGACGGATTAGATAAAGTTCGAATACAAGTTGAGAGCTCCAATATAACACAAACTACTCGGCAAACAGTTGATAGTAATTTTCACAGTACATCGATATTGCTACCGTCAAAGGAATCTTTTGCTGAAAAGCAGCAAAATAAATCAGTAAATGTAATTGCGCTAAATACTTTGGCACCAATTAGTAAGAATAATACTGACGACATAGTTAAATTTGGAACGCAAATTGTGAGCTCAAAAGTAACACGAAATACTCAGCAAATAATTGGTAATGATTTCGGCAAAGCAAGTTTTAATGTTGTAACAGAACCAGCTGCAGTGGTAGAAACTATTAATGATCCTCACAACATTGTCGGACGACCTATTCTCAGTGATATGATTTTGAGCGACATTATATGTATGAATGAAACAACTAATTTAAAGAGTTCAAATCAATTAAATATCGGAATGCCAAATAAAATAACAGAGAAAGCCACTCTTTATGAGAAATTACAAAATACTACTGTACCTCGTAATGCATCTAATGATTTAAACAAGAGAGAAGATTTAAATGTTGAATTAGTAAAGGGCACTTTCATAGACAGACAAATAAATATTGAACTATCAGGAAGCACAAAAGATAATGAAACAAGCGAAGAAAAATATGAATCATTAACAGCTTACAACAAAATTGCTACTCTAGTAGATGTGACATCGCCAAGTTCTCCTGTTAATAATAAATCTGTAAACAACGCAGGATATTCTCGTAGTGCAATGGATTTAGGACGTCCGGGATATATGTCAAATATTTTTTCTGATCTGACACAAAATAGCACCTTGCTAAATAAAATGGAATACATTTACAATTCCACAAACAACACAGAAGCTAAAGTAAAAAAATTAACAGGGGACAACATTCTTTCTTATCAAAACATTAAACAACTTTATGGCTCTGCAGTATCCCAAAATAGTAATATAAATATCAGTTATACATCGACTAATCAAATGAGCAATAAATCAAAGTTGATCACTGTGATGCATCTTCTAGCATCTGCTAATGCTAATAATCCTCCAACAACTATAAATTCCAACAAAGAAAAAAACCCTACATTTACTGTGGATTGCCTAAAACTACCACGAGGTAAATACGCCGATAATAAAGATTGTCGCAAGTTTTACATTTGCATAGGTAAAGTCCAACCCATTGTAGGCACATGTCCTAATAATACAGTATTCAGCGAAATCAATAAGCATTGTACAAAAAATCTATCACATTGTGTGAGGAACAATCAGTTTCACTGTTTGTATGAAGGACGATTCAGTGACTTCTTGAGAGATAACATATATTATATCTGTGTTAAAAATAACTTAAATGGTTTCCTTAGATACAAATTACAATGTCAGAATGGATTTCATCTAAATAAGGCCATAGCGAAATGTGAAAAAAATGACATATGGAACCAATCAGACACTTCTGTAAGTAATTCTAGTAATGTCAGTAATGATCGAAATAGATCTGTATCAAATTCTGAAACAAGTGAAAGCCCTGAATACGGTGAATTTGATTGTAAAAAAGAGGGAAAGTTGCCGTATCCAAAGAATTTTAGAAAATATTACGTATGTACAAAAAATAGTAAAAATGAATATCGCCGAATGGTTAAAAGTTGTTCTTCAGAGGAGATTTACGACAAGAAAAAGAAAAAGTGTGTATCTTCTGATAGCAATGAAAGCTAAATATTTATATTGTCATCGTTTTATTTGTATTAACTTAATGAAACAATATTTTTTTTAAATTAAGAATTTAATGAAACTATATGGTCAGCTTTGCCATTTAATTTAATGGATTTCATAACGTTTTGCCATGATTACTTAAAATATTATAATCGTATCCAAAACAAACGACACGAATAAATTGATTAATAAATTTTATGACGCCATTATCTACAAAACTAAAATTGAATATAGAACTATATGTGTTATAGAATAACTTATTAATTAAGAAAAAAAATGTAAATATAAATATATATATTTTTTTTTTAAATATTATAGGATTAGAACATTAGGTTTATGTGTACTGAGTGTTTATCCATTAAATTACTTCATAAACTGCAAAGAAAATCTTATTAATCTCTCAGATTAAAACTCAGACTCAGATTAAAATATATCTATATTTTAATCTGAGTTTCAAACCGAACAAACCAGTCCGTATCTTTCTAAACCTTTCCTTTCATCACAATGAAGATTACCAAATGCCTTAACTTATTATACCTACTTACAATTTAATACGTATCTGCACAATGGATCGTTTTTTAACAAATGTTTTAGTAGGTATCTTATACTTTTTAGGCAAAATATAGGTTAAGTACTTAATTATTTTAAGCAAGTGCAAGCATATAAATCAAAGGAAAGGCTTTAGCTACAAAATCGAAGAAAATATGAAGGTCAGGTAGGTATGTTTTACATTTTACAAATTACAAGTAGTAACAATAGTCGTGTTGTTTCGTAATGATACGAAAGATAACTTTATATAAATAAGGTCATTCAATATTTTCTTTGTTATAAATTATAAATATCTTAGTGTTAATTTATCTTGAATGATTTAAGTTGAATGATTAAAGGACAATAATTTTTAGTACAAAGGCAAACTCATATAATCAGCTTATTAGAGTGTTATGTAGTTCTTTTCTTATTAAACGGATGTATCTATAACGCTACGTGGTAAATATAAATATGCGTATAGTGACCTACTATAAGTTTTGAGATGCTCGAACTTTGAAAAAAGGAACGCATCTGTGTCATTTAATAGTAATTTTAAAATAAATTTATTTGAAAATCGATCACAAAAGGCTATTTACAGCAATAAAAAAAAATTAGAAGCAGGTAATATACTGTCATCATTTCCCGCTTTTTAACCGACTTGAAAAAAAGGAGGAGGTTCTCAATTCGACTGTTTTTTTTATGTTTGTTACCTCATAACTTTTGACTAGGTTAACCGATTTTGATGATTCTTTTTTTTTTGAAAGCTGGTGCTTCCCGTGTGCTCCCAATTTGGTTCTGATAATGGCACCAATGAGAGAACCACGCGAACATACTGTAAGAAATCGCGAACATACTGAATGCAAATTTAACATCTTAAATTTGCATTTAACATCTTAAATTTGCATTCAGTATGTTCTTTAGTTTTTTTCACGGACTGGACGTCTTGCAACATCAATGCAAGAAAGTTGTAAGTCTGTTAACTCAGAATGGTACATTACAGTCGCACTGCCAAAAGTTTTCAAAGCTGTGCAGGAGAGACAGCTAAAAACCGGGCTTCGGAGAATGATGCTGAACGATGCGTCTTCACACTCTGCCATCAGAACAAGGACTGCGTATAGACCCGACTTACTCGCAGCTCCTTGTCTTTTTATCCCCCACCATAAAAGATAAATTTAAATAGCAAGTTTTTTCAAGTGCCGAAGAAGCGGTGGCTGGCTCTGAATTAGTCAGTTTTGACCTTTCGGAGGAAGACTGGAATAAGTTTTTTCAAGACTGGTTTAGGCGCATAGAAATTTGTATAGAGAGTGATGGGAGGCTATTTTGAAAAAGTATAATATAACTTGTAAGTATATAGGTATTATTTACTATTTGCGTTTCTCAAAATTTATATAGTGACCTACGTAGGTAAGTATTTGCACAATACACGAAGGTATCATGTTTGTTTCCACATGATATATACATCAAATCCAAACTTAATAAGTATACAAATTTTATTTTAACATATTATTGGTGCAAATTCTGTTGTTCGAAAACTCTAAATCGCTAAAATTTGTTTAGTCCTGTCAAACAAAGTTTCGTATTCTGAAAACGTAGTATAGTTACCGGCACGGAACTTGAGCGCCCGGCGGCAGAGTGGGAATCGCTTTGCGCATCGTGCACTTATGGTAAAATAAAATGCACACCTATTTTTTTTCTTAGTTAGAATAGAATAAAAATAGATCAAAACCATAAGACGTTCCGTAGTAAAGTTACTACGTAACTTCGAATTGTTTCTATGGTAAGAGAAAATGGTTTAATTAAAATTTATTTATTATTAAAAAAAAATATAATTAAATAAAAATCTAAATTTATTATTATATTTAAATTGTTAATTTTGCTTAAAAAATATTTTCATTGTAAAATTATTAGGGTGAAATAGGAATGACAGCTTCCATCGAATCACTTTCTTATTTAAGGCTGGTGGATGTCTATTTCTTCATCGTCGTATTGTATTATAGGTATATAATCGTGCATATTATTATTATGAGAGAAAACATAACTCTAACTAATACACTCGAGTAAAAATCTCAATTTTTAACGACCAGAAAATTAAATTGATGAATAGCGAAAGTAGAAATGATTAAATTATTAATAAAAAAATAAAGACCCTATGAATTTGCTCGGAAGTGTACTCGTCGTACTTAAGTACGAGAAAACAAATCAGGAGCAGCGACAATTTCGGTGAGCCAATCACTGGCTGACGATATGATTTAATTGTCCTCGACCTACTTCATAGCTCAAAAGGGACCTAAAAATAGACTTCTGCGCAGCTTAAGGTCAGCACTCAAGATCGGTGCCGGTAACCTATACTTGACAGGATTAAACTAATTTTTTGTTTAGTTTAGAGAGTTTTCGAACAACAGAATTAGCACCACTGTCTATAACTCAATTTAGCTTTTTCATTTGTTCTTTTACAAAACAAACCGGTAAAACCCCATTTCAATGTTCTACACATTGCGCCGACCCGAAATAAAATAGAGGAAAAGGCGGGACGATGATGATAACTTATGCCAGTGCCAAACATCATCGGATGTTGATGATCTAATACTGTAAGGTTGAAAATGATTATGAAATAAACGATTTATGTAATGTAAGTCTGTTGCCTTTAGCTTCGGAAGGGTACAACTTTTTAGTTGGTTTATGCAATAAACATTAATTCCGCAAGTACAGATTTTCATTTTTATTTTTAATAAATCATTTACACATATATATATATGTGGTTGATATTACATAGATGTATTGTCTGAAAGCATTTAAACACAAAATAATTACATTACTACTAACACAATACGTAGGTATACTATTTTATTCGGACGTCATAAAAAAGGTACTTATTTTTGTAATTTTGAACAAGTGTTCTCCATTATCATAACACGTATTATGAAACACTGCATTTAGTCAGTTTTATTTAAAAAAAATTCAATTCGCTTAAAATTGAAGAGACACAATTATTTTATAAACAGTAACTGTGTTGTTGCTATCGTTTATTTCTGGTTTCTTCTCCATGCATATAATAGTTAAATTCTTTCATCTTTTATTCGTGGTCTGCGGTTTGGTGTGTTATCCAGTAAATATTGATCTTCATTATCTTTATCCAATGTGATACAGAAATGATTAGAGAATATCGTACACCGTATCGTCTCGTGTCCTCTAGGAGGAAGTGCAGGACAGAAGTAAGTGACTTGGTTAGCAACATTGTCTTGCGTCAATCGGAATTTATAGTTCTTACATTCTATAGATGGAAGACCTTGATCCAAAAGTTTGGTGCCTGAGAATTTAAATTGATCTCTAACGGTATTAGTACTATGGAATAAATCCGGGGTAGGTTTGGTATTATTTCCTAAAGGACATTTGTATTTGCTTGGAGAAGTACAAGTCCGTGTTATACCATTGAATAGTGTATTTCCCGAGCATCTAAAATTGAGAGCCTGTAACCGATCGCCTTTGGATACACAAAGGATGTAAGCTTTACAGCCGGGAACGCTTGGGTTGGCAATTCTTTCATTGCGTTGACATCGTATTCGGTTTGTTAACGTCGGATCTAAGTGTGAGATCGCATCCTCGCAAACGGCGGTTGACTCCTCGTTGCAAAATGTTCCCCGCGGACAGAGAAATGTAGGGCCTGTTGGTTTAGAGTCCGTACATAATTTTATTTGGTTATTTCTCTCACACGTGAATCCGTAAGGTCCACAATCGTATGGACTGGGGTATACATTGAATCCATTTGCTTTAGTCGCAAATAATGTGATCTGTAAGAAACATACCAGATAAATGTTTGTTGAAATTTTTTAGGCTATAGCTCAACCACATAAAACATTTAGAAAACACACATCACATAGTACTTTTAAATAATAAAGCGGGGATCAATTTTCAGGAACTACTATCTCATTGAACTAGTTAAGTCTAAAAAATTTACAAAAACAAAGATGACCCGTAAATATTTTAAATAATCAATCAATGTCAATTGTGAAAAAGAGAATCACAATTAAACTAATTAAGATCGATATTGATGGATAGAATTCATTGCACTTTGTGTGTAATAATATTCAACGAACATACTCGAAGTATAAATTAACGAACATAGTATTATATTGTTCAGAATAATTAAGCTATAATTAATTGCACTTTACAATGAACCTGTTTAGATTAAGCTCTAATCATCAACAGTCTTTAACAGTCCACTACTGGAAATAGGCCTCTCCTTAGAAAGCAGGTTTTGGCCTACTATATATATACTATAAGCTTTAATAGAGCAAAATAAAAATTAATTTTAATTAACTTTTAACTTTTTAACTGTCTACACAAAAAAATAATCCGTTTTGTAATTTAATCGTAATAATGTTAATCGCGGTAGTCACGATTGACAATTGTTAATCTTTAATTATAAGAACAACTTCATTTTGTCCAACGATTGTGCGTAATAATCGTTCTAAAACTAAGTACTTGGAGGATTGATATTACCTAAGTGTTGTCGTTCGTTGAATATTATTAAAATCACGTACATTACGCTTTAAGATGAGGAAAAACATTATACCAAATTTAAGTTTACAAACCAGAAATAGATAACTATTTAAAAGAAATAAAAAAAAACTACCTAAATTGGGAACATTTTTTTTCACATTTCAAATATTCGGGAAGATTGTATTTTAAAAATACTTCTGTAATAAATTAATTAATCGAGATTTAATAAAAAGTAATTAGCACATCACTGTCACAGCATAAACATTAAAAGAATAAAATATTGTATAAACTCACCGTCAGAAGAACTTCAATGAGATAAAAATACACCATATTTCGTTAACACCGTACCTTAACAAATGTAATCTTCGCTATGTCTAGAATACGACTAACGGGGTAACTGTTTTCCAAAACTATGCAGTTAGAAAATAGTTAGCACCTCTTGCTATTTGTTGACACTTTGTCACCGATAGTACGAAAACTGCGTTTGCTTTTAACGGTACAACTGTGTGTAAACTTCTAAGATACATACTTCTTTTGCCCCGGAGTGTCCGTTACTATAATCCAAACCTGAATCATTGAGGTTAAGTATAAAAAAAAATTTACACCTTAATTTTAATTTGCAGTATCTGCCCCGAATTTCAGTTGTTTTTTTTTAATTTATGGATATCTCGGCTTTTTTTGCATCCAAGGGTCAACCTCTAAATGAAGTTTTAAAACAGTAAATCGAAAATCGAATGTAAGGCCATCTTATGACAATTCTTCTAAAGTACATTTTTTGAATATTTAACAAGTGTAAATAATAAATAAACGTTTGAGATTATGTTTTAAAATAGAACAAAATAAAACTACATTTATCATAATATTTAAATACATTTATTACTAAAAGATACTGCTACGTCTAATATGTTTAAAGTTATTCATCATCAGACGATGAATCACTGTCGCTGGAGCTCGATGATGATCGGGATGTGGAATCTTGACTGGTTGGAGTGCCCATTTTGGCTCTGTACATCAACAATCATTAAATCGGTAAGATAGGAACCAAGACCTTTAAAACTAGGAAATCGTTAGCATGTTTATAAAATTTGTCTAATCTAATTATATTATGCATATTAATCAATAATTTTAATTGGATTTCAGTTAATGATATTCTAATTTTGATAAGTGCTAAATATTTAAAAATAGTAAATGGATCTAGTCCTTTACTTGAGTCCTCCAATTCTAGAAGTTGTTTTTTAAGTTTTCACGACGGTTTTGCGAGTTTAGTATCTTTGTTAGTATCTTTGATGAGATCTTATATTATAGTAAACCATTTAAGGTGATTAATATAATAAAATGTATTCAATTATTTATGTTTGTAAAATGCGGTACTATTATGGCAGATTTCCTTTAGTTTAAATAATAATGTCACACATCTCACACACGGTAGTCCGATCCCAAACTAGGCAGCGCCTGTGCTATGGTAACCAGACTGCTGATAAACACATTTATGTATTTCTAAATACATACATATTACAGATAAACTACACCTAGACACAGAACAAACGATCGTGCTTATCACACAATAATTATTTGTCCTGGGTGGGAATAGAACCCAGAACCACCGGCTTAGCAATCAGGGTCACTAACCACTAGTCCACTTGACAATTAAAATTTTCTTACGACCTGTCTTTTATTTATTAGTAACCTAGTATTTAGTAATCCTTTTTTCATCGAACGCTATGATTTAAGAGTAATAGTAATTACGCATGTAGACTTAAATATTAAAAGTAAATACCACTTACAAATTGTAAGCTTCAGCGAGAGCGAGTGCTGACGGCTGTAGTGTAGTTGCAAAATCAACTTCCTTCTGAGATAACATTTGTTCCACTTCTTGCGTCGACCGGTTCAGGATAGTGCCCAGTACTTGCACGCTAGCTGTCACTGCTTCTTCGAACCCGCATTCAGCCAAGTAAGTCACCGCAGACTGAGGGACGTAGAAATAGATGTTATTCTTCACTTTCAGCAGGTTAGTATTTAATTCGATAAAGAAAACATTCAAACAAGTATATAAGTTTTACAACAGCCGATCTAACTTTCATAGTACAAGTTCTCCTTATTTTGAAACTAGATGGTGTTGTGTGTCAGATGTCCGAAAATATTTATTATTCTTTTGATTATTATTCTTTGCCAAATTATAAACTAACATTTTAAACGAGGTTAATAAGTTTAGTGTTCTGTGGCATTATAGCTCCTAAATCGTTAATTTTTTTTTTAAAAGACTTCTTATCTATAATTTAAAGAAATTTGTCGTCGAATTTAATATTGTCACTTTTGCGTTTCTGCCTCTATTATTCCTCCAGCACCTTAGTGCTGTTATTGTTGGCTTCCTTAAGTCTAGAAGTTATTCTCTTTTACATTGAAGAACAATCAGCAGAATAGTAGAAGACACTGAGTGTATAACTATTTTCGTAACATGAAAAGACTGTTAATATTCAAAGTCAATGTTTATATTTAAGGTGAAATGAAAAGATACTTATACAAGTAAATAAATCAATAGTAACTTACCGCGGCAATACCATGTTTTCCGAGCGTAGCGGCCTTCTGCGCTACCTCGGTTAACGCCTGCGGCTCTCGCGGCACGCCGGCCGCCTCCTCACGCCGCAAGCGCTGTAGCGCTGAGCTGATCGAGTCCCAAGCACTGTCCGAGGCGTCTTGTGTATCAGAGCACATGTGTATAATGTTACACAGCGCTGTAGCAGATAATCTGTGAAAACAATGTGAGATACATGTTGCCATCAAGTGGGTCTTCAATCTAGTACCTTTATTGTAGTGTAAACTAACTAAAAATGTAAACTATTGTTTATTTTTAATTATTTTTTAATAGTCGTCTTCATTACATTTAAAGAGAGAAGTGGTAAAATCGATTTTTATAACCTTTCTAAGATTAGGTTACTATTGCCGTTCCCCCTAGTTCCTGTTTTTTGCTGTCACACCTTCATGCATCATCATGAAACTTTGTATATAGCAAAAGGCGTAGAGTTCGTAAGTCAGAAAATAAAATCGTTCCTTTTGTTGAGGAAGTTGAGGAACGTTTTTTAAGTTAAGGGAGGTTAAATGTTGTCTTTTTTTCAACACACTAATATGAAAAAGCGAACGGTTGTAATTAAAATATGCGATTTCTCTACGCATGACATTATTATTATAAGGAGCTAAGCAAATCTGTTGCATAAAACGGCTGAACTAGGTATAATAGTTCTGGCTTCGACTATAGCAACGTGATAAAATAATTAGTTTTAGATTGTTTTAACATAATTAAACAAACAACCCTAAAATTGGTCAATTTTATAATTCTAATTGGCATACTTCTGTTGAGGTGTTCTGCGATCCTTGGTCTCTTCGATCTCCTCAGTCATCTCTCCATAGTTGAGCATATCAATGGCAGCTAAACGCATTTTCCTTTTTACTTCCTCACCTGGAAAATAAATCATTATATAAAAGAGCATTATATAATGGTCAAGTTAAATTAGTATATTTTAATGGACGTCAAAACTGAAGGCTTTGTACACTTTTTGTATGAAATACCGAGACGAGAGTCATGTTTTAATATTATATTGTTGACAAGTATAAATTAAAAAAGTTAAATAAAAGTGAAAGCATATTTTTACACTATTTTAAAATATGGCGTTGCATGTTTTAGCCGAAATAATTTACTATACTTAAAGATAGTGTTTTTTTACTCACTTTGATACTCATAACAGCTGATCATGGCGTCTAGTAATCTCTCAACAAGTCTCACTCGTTTGGCGTGACCGAATACCACTAATTGGGACCATGCTTGTGCCAATCGGTCTCCAGCACCGCCCACTTCCAAAGATTTTATTATCTGTGCATATAAAAAATAAAACATAAAAGTCAACTAATAAGAGAGGCTTTTGGACTTCTTGCAGAACATTTTTATTAGTGTCATGCGCTGGTGGATTGTCAATGCTTCTAGGCACCAGTAAGGGTTTACCATCAGGTGGAGGGAGGAAGAGAAAGTGCTTGTTCACTAAAATATTAACATAATACAGTTTTAACTAACGTTAACTAAGTTATTGATCTCGAAACAGGTAACACGGTTTTTGTTAATAAATAAAAGTATAGCTATTGTTAAATATGTCAAATCTAATATAAAGTCTATAAGTTTAACTGTAAAATTTGAATTTTTATCTCTAATAAATAAATATAAATTGCAACATCTTGTGTTCACCTATACAATAAGACACTAATTATTATAAAAATTCATTAAAAACATACTACATTCATATTTTGTTTCAGTGTACATAGTAGTCGATAATTTCGTATCGTAACTACATGTCAGGATGGCCGAGCGGTCTAAGGCGCCAGACTCAAGGTTTCCTTGCTTACTAAACGTAAGTGCGAGTTGTTCTGGTCCTCTCTGAGGGCGTGGGTTCAAATCCCACTTCTGACAAATTCTTTTTGACAATTATTTTAATTAAAACATTTAAGTACAAGACTTTTTCAAGTATGCAAGCAAGTTTAAACGATTAATTGCTATTCATAATTTGCAGCGAATACATTCGATAACACTGGATGCAGTAGATTTCTTTTTTTTTTTAAATTATTATTTTTTTTTTTTGCATGTTTTTAATGCAATTTTTACAATTTCTTTTACCACATATTTCACTTTTACGAATAGTGGAACAGTTACATTTACAAATCGCTGTTAAAAGTTAAAAAAAATGGTTTATTATTAAGTGTAGCCTCCAAAATTTCTGATACTTGTAAATTTAAAATTAATATTTTGATACAAAGCTCCTACATACCTCTTCCATAACTGAAGGTTCTGGCACATAAATGTTAGGGACCAGGGTGTCTAAAAGCTCCGTGGTTTTCTCAAATGGTGCATGCCTGGTAATAATATAAAATATTTTCAATATTAGTATGTTTTACACAGGTGAAAATATGTTTTACTGTAAACAAGCCTAAAGGATCAAATGTACCTGCAAGCCACTGTGACATAGTGTCTGTAATAGATGCTTTCCTTGTACGCGTCTCCCACTAATTTGTAATTGTCGCCTTTCATCAGTAGATCATGTAGCCTTTCTGCCATTTTTATATCCTAAAAAAAATGTTAAAACTATTAAACTAAATATTATTACTGTTAATCTATATTTATAAAAGAAGAAACTGACACTGATTCAATGACTGATCGATCAACGCAGATCTGCAACCGAAGAAGCATAAAATTTTGCACTACTATTCCTTAGGTGACGTAGCTGGGCACTAAGAAAAGATTTAAAAAAAATAGCCCCTCAGTTTGGAAGTTGGAAGGGGTTGGAAATTTACATGAAACTGAGTTATTTTTGGTAGTAGCGTATCCTCTATGATGTCTGATGTCGACCAGCACGCGGACGAAGTCGCTGGCAAAAACTAGTATACACATTTACATCAAAAACAGATTTCTTTTTGTTTGATTGTTTGTTTGTATAGAAGCATAATCTTAGAAACCACCAGTTGAATTCGAAAAATTAATTATGAATTGGATAAGAGTAATTTAGAACATTACAATATAATGATATTTTCTATATAACTGATACACACCCTAACTGACACATGCAAAGTTTATAACAGTATTGTAATCACCTGTAAATGATCACTGCACACCCCCATAGCTGTGATGAAGAAGTTAGTGTCTGTAGATTCTTTGACATCTATGTTGTCCCTTTGTTCCAAATCTTTTATAATTGCTGACATTATGTCTATGCGTGGGCCTCCTGTAAAACGTTAAAAAGCGTTGTAACATTTTTTATTTATTTATTTATTAAATCTTAATAATATATTGTATAAAGCGGACTTAATGCTACAGGCCTTTTCTTACAGTTAAACCTTTGGGTGTTCCAGAGCTATGTGTGGCAGGTCTATATTAGAAACTTTTAATTTATAGAAAATATATACATACACATATTGTATAAATAACCAAATATATACTTCACTAAGTGAGTGATAATGTCTTGATAAAATTAATGATCACATATTACGTGTATTTTTTGTTGTATTGCCTAAAAAACAAAGTTACAATTTTAAATATAGTTTAAACGTTATTTTTCTACATTCTCGTTGTTATGCGTTCCATAGTAAGGCACCTTGTAATAATCAAAAATGTAAAAATCAGGGATTGCTTATTGACACTATGGCTGCTAATAAACAATTTTCTGGCCAAAGACCTACTTACGTTCTTTGCAGAATAGGCATAGTAAGTAGTAATAGGCTGACAGGCCTGGATGTATGCCTAACTCTCTGAACTCCGCCACAGTTTGTAGCGCCAATTGTTGCAATGCTTTGCCACCGCCCCACGCCGATATGGAGTGCAGGCATGCCGTCAATGTCCCATCGTTTGGTGTGAAGCCCTATTAAATATTTTTCATTATTAATATAATTATTATTAATATTTCCTTTATTAATACCATTCATACATATTATACATTTTCACTAAATTATTACAGTTTTCTAATTAATTAAATGGTTTATACCCTACATCCCTATGCTTATTATGTAAAATCGAACGGCAAAATCATTTGTTTCGTCGCTTTTTCGTTTTTAAATATATTTTTTTGTATGGGTAAATTCGAATCTGGAGTAATAATTTCCAGAAACAAAAAATCGTTTTTAACACAACTTACCTGATTTCACAAGTATGTCCTATTTAATAGCTTATAGTGTTATGTACAGATTTCGAAATCTATTGAAATAAATAGTAGTATAGAATGATTAATTTTGGAAATCAAAGTTCAATCATACTAACACATCAATTAAGTCAAATTGCTTATATCTCTTGGGAAAAAATCAATGCCAATATCAATGTAATCCGATTTATAGGATTGATGCATTTGCATGATGCATGCATGCGTTCGAGTGGAATTCGAAAAGCGCTGCCTTAGTGGGTTCCAGGCAACATTTTAAAGGGTTTTCCTGAGAGGAAAAATAGTCTAAGTTACTCCTTATATAGACAGCAACCTGGTAGTAAAATATTTTTAAAATCGGTCCAGCCGTTTATGAGATTATCCGGGACAAACAAACAGACAAAAAAAAACTAGCTTTTTAGGCATAGGTATAGTGCAAATAACCGTGTGAGCATGAAAAAAACCTATTATTTGACATTACAAACAGACACTTCAATTTTATTTATTTGTTTAGATGTAAAGATATATAATTAAAGTACGTCTTTTGCTAGCGTATGAAGGATCTATCTAACCGTGGGAGTGCCCTGCTTTGGTACAAATGGGACAGCTCGACCTGTGTCTGACCACGGCTTGACAGAAAACCAGTGTTCAGCAATTCTTTCCTTGCTTTTCACTAAATAATAAGAATGAAAATAAAAAATACCTGTTCTCTCATTTCTACTAATAAAGCTTTAAGGGCTTCTATTCGAAGAGCTGTGCCTTCCTTTAAGTATCCTACGCAGCCTATCAATGAATTATAAACACTGGTTGACAGTTGTATGCCCTTCTCTATAGCCTCCTTGGTCAACGCGTGTGCCCTTTCAGCCTGAAAGAATAAAATATAGATATATAGATAGGTACTCTTTATTGCACACCATGGATAGGAGACACACAATGAAGAAAAGAAACAACAAAAACTATGGTACAATGAATTTGCGATGATCTCAATTATCGCGTATATGTGTCATGGATAAATGCGAATCGTTTCTTTTGCAGGATTAAATTAAATATTAAATAGTAGGAAGAGGATGTGAGTATTCCGGCGAAGCCGAATTGGGAGCCACTTGAGTTTTTTGCGAAATCGGAAAACTCATATCAAAACGAGCAATTCTTGTAAATGTATATGAGCAATTCTTCTATCTTGTATATATGACGGGCCTGTTGGTGGTCTACTGGTTAGTTCCCCTGACTGCTAAGCCGGAGGTCGTGGGTGGTGGATAAATAATTGTGCGATGAGCACGATGATTTATTCTGTGTCTGGGTGTAATTTTTCTATGACATGTATGTATTTAGAAATATATAAGTATGTTTATAAGTAGTCTGGTTACCATAGCACAGGCTCTGCCTAGTTTGGAATCAGGCGGCCCTGTGTGAGATTTGTTAAGTAATATATATAATTTGAATCTCGGAAACGGCTCCAACGACTTTCATGAAATTTAGTATGCAGGGGGTTTCGAGGGCGATCAATCGACTAGCTAGGTTTCATTTTTAGAAATTTTACCAAAAACAAATCCAGGTATTTTGATCATATTTACGCAAGCCAAAAATAAATCTTATGCATAAATTCTGAAGTCTCTCAAGTTTATCGAATTAGTCCTCGTTCAGATCAAGATAGCTGTCATAGCATAGTCAGGGATGGGTAGGAGAATTGATTTTTTTTTTGAAGTGATTTCGCAAGTTTATATATTCTGTGTCTGAGTGTATAATATGTATGAATTTATTATCGATTTTTTATTATTATTTAGTTTTAAATGATCTAACTTTAGCCATCAAGACTTTTACAAATATGCTTGATCTAGTAACCTGAATCTGATGATTCTTGGACAGAATTAGATAACTCGGGACAACTCGCGCCAACTTACGCAAAAACTTACTTTCAAAGAAAGATTTTACTAATTTTCTTTTTATTTTTTCTCGTTATTGTCCCAGTACACAAAACACTGTGTGTTAGTTGAAATAAAATATACCAAAATCATTTCTAGACTAACTTTTTATCATTTTTAAATACCTGATAATATTTAGCCATGCCTTGAATTAGGGCACAATAAGCTTCTGACGTTTTTGGTTCCATGGATGTGAAGATGCTGTCAGCAAGTCCACCAAGCCTGAAAACAAATATGAAATGCGATCATCGCAGTCTGTGGATAATATATTTATTAGGAGAACATAAGATTTGTTTGCTAATAACAATTTCATCAAATTGGATCTTGTGGATAATTTTTTTAACAATAATGCAGGTGTTCTTGCTAAAAATTGTTTGTGTTTTGTGTTCTGATAAATAATCTTAACATGATGGGTTTTAGAATGTTCATAAAGAGAATAACACATAATGTTGTGTTTCTATTTATAAAGTAAATTATTAGGTCTCACTGTGTGGAAGATTAAAACCTAATTTAACATAATCAAGACAAAAATATGTAGGTTTAATATTGAGAATTAAGGCGCCGATAGCCCATCTTGCTACATATGTCTCATCATCAGCTTTAGATTTAAGGGCCAGGACTCTCTTGGCGACAGCCACTTAAGTTACAGGTATTACTATTAATAGTTACGAAAATGTGGGCATTTAAACCGTCTCTGCCTACCTATGCAGAAATACAGGCGTGGGTGTATGAATCAATCTATATATATAAAAGAAAGTCGTGTTAGTTACACTATTTATAACTCAAGAACGGCTTTACCGATATGGCTGAAAATTGGCGAGGAGGTAGCTTAGAGCCAGGAGACGGACATAGGATACTATTTATTCCTTTTTTTTTTTTTTGTATCTGCGTCGATCACCAGATGACAACGGTGGAACTGTCACAACAAAAGTGAAAAGAATGGATTTCGTTGTCGACAACAGTTGGATTGTTCCATATTCGCCACTTATTTCTAAAACGTTCAAGACACATTGCAACGTTGAGTATTGGTAGGAAGACCATCTGCGTTGTTTGTTTTTGCGCCTGATAAGAAAACAAAAAATATCGTGTATCACAAGGTACTTAAGTGAAGAGCAACCTATGTACTGAAATGCAGAAACAATAATAAATGATTAATGTACTTCATTTTTTTTCTAAGAAATAAATTAACTTACTAAATTCGAAAATCGGCTTATTTATTGCATTTAAGGCGGAACAGAGTTCGCCGGGGTCAGCTAGTTTTATATATTTTTAACCTCCGAGGCAAAAGGAGTGGTGTTATAAGTTTGATGTGTCTGTGCGTCTGTCAGTGGCATCTTAGCTCCTAAACAAATGGAACGATTATGATGCAGTTTTTTTGTTTGAAAGCTGATGTAATCAAGATAGTTCTTAGCTAAAATTTGCGAAGATCATGAGCTCCTTTTAATGTGTTATGTTTGAAAGTCATTTACCTCCATGTTGTTGAATGTCTATCGCGAGTGTTACCAGCAAACCACTTTTCTTCAATCCACTCCATGGATTCAGGTTCCTTTTCATTATAGAAGCACATCAATTGCAGTAGTTGCAGCTTTAATTCATTGTTAACACCTTCTACACCACCAAGTAATTGAAACACTTTTACTGAGTCTTCCAGTAAGGCATTTTGGATTGTATACTTCAAGTCCTCCTCTGTAACCTAAGAAATACATACTTACTGCATCTGCCACAAGATCCTTTACTTTGAGCTGTTGAGCAGTTCATGTTATATGAAGGGAAGAGATTTTTTTAGAAGAACAGAAAGAAGCTTAAAATCTTACTTCACTTTTAAAATTGGTAACAGATATAAAAACACCTTGTTACAGAGTAATAAATTAACTACTTGAAGCAAACAATGATAGTCTATAAAATGTCAATTTAAGTTATACACCAAAACTAAAAATGAATTATGATAAAATTTACATGCATTAAAGCTATTGCTTGTAACCTTGCCACCATAATTATTGTAAACAGGGTAAATTTTTTATTTTAGATTTATCCACACATTTACTATAGAAGGTTATAATAATAATAATAACCTCACACCTCACACCCAAACTAGGCAGAGCCTGTACTATGGTAACCAGGCTGCTGATAAACATACTTATATATTTCCAAATACATAGATATTATAGATAAATGACACCTAGAGACAGAACCAACAATCATGCTCATCACACAATTATTTGTCCTGGGTGGGAATTGAACCCACAATCTCCGGCTTAACAGTCAGGTTCACTAACCACTAGACCAACAGGCCTGTCAAAGGGTTGTTATTTATTTGTAAAGTATACTTTAGAGAAAATCTTAACAATAAATACATTGTATTTACTGGGAAGATTAAGTAGATACATAAATTCAGATTTTTCACTTTTATCACAATAGTGTACAATTGCAGTAGGGTACTATAGATATAAGTTACTGAGTACCTACTGATCGGGCTAGGGATAGTCCATTAATCACGTGAGGTGGGGCGGGGGTTTGATTCGGCAAAAATATTACTAAATACCAGTCATTTAATCAGTTTTATTCATTCATTTTGATGTTCAAATATTATTTTTATGCCAGTCAAAAACAACCTGCAACTGGGGTAGTCTAAACCTCACCATATTTCACCAAAAAGGGGAAGGGGTTAAAAGTTGCTAAAAAACATCACATAATTTTAGGATGATACAAATCACATGTCAACCTACATAATAAATATAGAAGTTATGGTAACATGTTATCTATTACATATTTTTTACCTTAGATATCTATTAATATCCTAAAAGACTTATTACTTTATCAGTATACACTGTGTATTATAATATGCAATATTCTTAATACAAGTTGATAGTGTCCCTACAGCATCAAATTCTTATAATATGGGTACATGTTGATGTATTGATCACTGAATACAGTTAATGTATTTAATAAGTTTTAAGTACTACATATACATATAACAGTCTGTGTAATGACAGACTAAGAATACAGAGTGTCACTATTCATACCGTAAGTGTTGTAAGAGCTGATTAAGGGAGCAAACTATGCCGGATAATAGCACTGCCAAGAGAAGGAAAACTTGAAACATACAACCAACCTGTCTGGCCAGTGTGGTATAGTAGGCCAAAACCTCTTATTTAAGGAGAGGCCTATGTCCAGCAGTGGACTACTAAAGGCTGTTCATGTGATGATGTGTATAACATGTACTCACTTGACTTTCATCATTGTATATAGGTCTAGGTGCGAATGCTTCTATTTGAGGATCAGCATTAAAGTAAGGTGTCTTCATCTTGGTTGGTGGATCCCACTCTCTAGTTGTGAATAAGTTGGCATGTTCATCTCTTATCCAAGCAGCAGCTTTACGACCAGCCTCAGCGGACAAGGCATATGCTCTCTTACGAAAGTTAGACAATGGTATTAAATATGGATCATCATGGTACCTAGAAATGCATAATCAATTAATTCAACCTTCCTTTTAAAGAGCTATCAGGTTTATATGTAGTAATTATATGTTACTTATAATGTGCAGCCGTCGGATCAGGACCTACTGTTGACGCTAGAGCCTGTAGGATGTCAGTTGGCCCTCTAGGAATACGAGGAGGAGGTGAGATTCCATCACTAGATTTACTAGACTGAGGAAGTTTTTGACCTTCTATAGATGATAATGAACGACACAGACATGAAAGTCTCGTCCACTGTCTGTAAATAAAGCGATATAAGGTTGAAAATTAGTAATTAAGGAATTATTTATCTTAGACCTAACCTAAAGGAAGTCCAAGGCATACCTCGGAACAACTATGTTCGAATACATCACAGATATAGTAGGGGCCTTGAAATACAATTTTTACTTTAGGTTTAATTTTGAACGCTGTATTTGTGTTATTCTTGAGGATTTATCAACATTATAAGAATATAACCTCAATCTACTACTGTCAATGTCAACCTACTGTTTTGACATATTTATGGTTTGTAGTAGCTAAACTGCTTTGACATTTAATATTTTTTCTACTTCGGCTAAAAGGGATTTTATCTAAATTTTGTATAGACCGGTAGAATTAGCGAAAAATATCTGAAAAATCATATAAATTCCAATTGGAGCGAAAAAGTATGTTATTGAAGATTCAACTTTCAGGATTTATTATATTATATAATTGATTGCAATAAAAATTACAACAAAATATTGTCAGCTAAGGTAGCAAAACAAATGTCAAAAATAGTAAAAACAAGTTTTTCGCATCTGGAGCGCAAACTAAAGCTCCTACGAAAATTAGTTGAATGTAACAAATGTGCGTAATCAAAAAAAACAAAGAATAAACCAATGAAGACGCGTATTAAACCGTATTATTAAAATTTTTATACGTGCAGTCTTTGGACTAGTTGTAAGCAGAAGACCATTAGTGCTTTTCGAGTTGAGCGCAACAATGCACTCAGGATGCTATTAAGGCACGGTGGTGCAGTGCTTCTGTCATGTTCGCCGATGCTCACAGGGACGGGTGGGCAGCAATCAGGCTGCAAAGGATACGTGGTAGTCCTATCCGTCTCCTGAGTATCATTGCAGACTGACATGACAGTCCTACAATAACGTACTTATGCCAATTACATGTACTAACATAGTTACAAAGGCAAACTGTGTACTAACAATTTATCGATATGCAAAGGTGTCTTCAGTTTTTAACCAATCCATCATAATAATATCAAGTAAAATCTTTGCGAGTACAAAACCGGAATTAGTTATTAGGCTTATAGACCTAGCCAGGTGCAAAAGGCTTCGTAGCGTCCCGTAATGTGTAGAATATAATGTGGGATAAGAATCATCAGTAAGGAAAAATGAAAATACAATTAAAAAACATTTTTATTTATTTACATACAACAGCCAAGAAAAGTATTTTTTATGTTATTAGAAAAATTCTAAAATAGTAAAGAATAATAAAATATAATGCACATTTATTGAGACAGCGTTATTCGGATGATAAGGTTTCAAAGTAGTAGTAGTAATGTTGATCTTAGTCTGATTTCTATCAATTGAACTTGGATAAGGGCTTAGAATAGTAGAATTACACGCAGTTTGACGTTCTTCGATACACATTTTTGAGCTTGAATTAAAAGTAGTATTTAATGGACATTCTATTATTCTGGCCGTAGCCATTTCACTTATTCCCATAATACATGAAATGAACGATTTAGAGCCACAGTTTGCATTTCCTGGCTCTGTAAAATTATTTACAGAAGTGCAATTGAAATTTGGAAAACATTTATAATTTGTAGCATTTGTACATTGCTGTTCTAAATGACTATATACAGAACCTTGAGGGCAACTAAGTTTGTACTGAGTGAAGTTGTTTATACCACCGATTAAGCAAATTACATATCCCCTGCAGTCATGGTTTTCATCATTCGGAAATTTTCCACGTTCTGTACACGATGTAGTTTGACTCACTCTGTGGCATAATCCCTGTAATTAGAACATTATTTCTTATCAAATGTAACAAAAGACTTAACCGTTATCTAGATCTAAGACTTTAATGTCTTGCAGAGTAAAGACAGTTATGACATAGTGGAAACAAGACCTAGGTTTTGACGTAAACAATATTAGGTGTAGAAGGTATAGGTAGGTTTATCAATGTAGATGTGACTGTATGAGTTATATGATTCATTGAAGTCACATCAAAGTAGGTATATGTAGTTTTACTAAGTTCTTTGGAAACATTTATTATTTTGATGCCTAAATCTTTAGGAGTTATTGTAACAACAGCACTGCTAGGAGAAGGATAACTTGACACCAAACCCTATACCAACCCGTCTGGATATAATAGGCCATAAACTACTTTTTAAGGAGAGTGTCCAGCAGTGGACTATTAAATCCTACTCTAACAAGTTGTTACCGTGGTGACACCATAATTTGACGCTTTTTAACACTTTATCATACATAGAGACGGTTTTCAATGTAAACCGTTTCTTACAGAGGGTGTGGAATGGTTTGAAGTTTATTTTGGGAAACTAATCTAGCTAAAGTAAAATTGTATTCGGCAAAGTGACTATTTCCACATGAAGATACATATGAGATTGGTATTGTAAATAAGCAGTGTCAGTGACCCCATGTGCCTTAAGGATACTCAACATAGCCCCTAGCTGGTTACCTACAAAAGTTTTACCTATTTCAATATGATAGATATGGGTTTAGAGCAACTGGCCGTTCTGCACAATTATAGAAAATAGCAGTGAAGAACATGGTTTGCCATAATTATGTTTTCCTACCTAACAAAAACAAATAAAATGTTTCGAATTTAGACCAGTGAGCAAACATTTTGTGAATTGAAACAGAACTTTGTCTTATTATATTTTCGAATAATTGAAAACTCGTTTCATAACTTCTTTATATTTGTACTTGTCATTTTAGCCTATTTATTAGTATCTGAATTTTAACCGTCACAGAAACATTTAGTCTTGTCCTAATCACCGCTATAAAAGTCTCTACTGTAAAATGCTGCTTACTTAAATATGTGTGTAGGTACGCTTCATAAAGTCCAAAAGTTCTACACTGATAGAACTCAAATTTTGACACCAAATACAAACCGCTAGAAAGATTTTTTATCTATTTTGCGAGTCAGTTTTGTTCCCCATTTCTCATGAATGCAACCGCAATGTATCACAGCAAAGCACAGTACATCTGGTTGTAGATATTATGTATTGTCATTGAGCTGGCGATAGTTTATAAGATTGCCTGTAATTTGTAATCTTATAAAAGCTGTAAATTTATTTAATTTCAGACAAGTATAACAAGAAGCTCAGCTTAGAATGTGGGTATAAAAGGATTTAACGATGTAAAGCCTGGTCGCAAGGACTTATGATAACGTAGAATAGAAGCTGATAAGGAACGACTCTATCAGCTGCCGAAAAACTTTACCCTGTTAAAAGGTTTTGTAAGTTTATTTTTAAGAAATAAAACAACAGCCAAATATAAAAACATTAGATGAAATGAATTGTTAGATTTATTTATTTTTCATTCCAAAGAATCTCTCGAAATGTGATAGGTACTGTACGTGGGTTAGTGTACTATTATGTTAACGTACACAAAGTGGGTTGAGAATAATTATTAAAAAAGAAACCTTGTGTCACCGTCCAATCACATTTTGAAGCAAACAAAATAGAACAGTAGAATAGTAGACATATTAGAATTAACAATTTGAGTTAGATATTTCATAGTTTTACTCCTGTTCTGCAATCACAATGAGGGAATTTACGATTAGGCCGTTACAAATCCTATTGAGGACGAGTTGTGTACATTTCTTATTTTAATTGTTTTCAATGGTTATGAGTCAAATGATTTTATCTAAAAAACGGTATTTTATGAAACCAGCTGAATTTATGAGATAGACAAAAAAATATGGTTAGCTGATAAATCTTTTTTTTTCTTAGCTATAAGCAATATTATGTACCTTTTTATTTTCTGTATTTTGACCAAAGAACGAAGTCACAACACTAATGTAATGGGATCTAAAATGATATCTTTTATTTCACTTAATTAAAAAAGTAATTAATTGACATGATATTTCTTAATTGTTTATTAAGAATGTTAGTAAAATTTAAAAGCTTTTTAATAAAATACTGTTTTTTTTAAATAATATTAAAGAAATGAAAAAGTCACTACAGTACTTACAATAAACAAAAATAACACTAAATACTTCATTACTTTCGCTAATTCTGAGAATAAAAACCCACACAAACTTGTTTACTACTAGCAACATAAAAACGTTATCAAAGCCTTTGAGTGGAGACCATTAGGTACTCACATTCTCTTTAGCGTTGATACATTATTTGTAATGTTTAACAACAACTAGTGATGGGAACACAAGAATTTATTCTTTCCCTATATGCAGGGAAAACTTTATTACGGTAACAATATTTTATTGGAAATATAACAATTATATTAAATTGTATCTAGTAAACAATTAAATAATTTAGCGTATTATATATTAATAACTATTAGTATCGGTACCCTATACCAACCCGTCTGGCCAGCGTGGTGTAGTAGGCCAAAACCTCCTTCTAAGGAGAGGCCTATGTCCAGCAGTGGACTAGTAAAGGCTGTTGCTGAATAGACATAGGCAGTTTGTGTCAAGTTTTCCTTCTCTCTGCAGTGCTGTTGTCCTGCGTAGTTTTCTTAACGCTCTTACCACACCCACAGGATGAATAGGGGTGGTGACACTCTGTATTCTTAATCCGTCACCACACGGATGGACTATGTCTATTAAAGGACTATAAAAGGCTGTTGATGATGATGATGTATTGGTTAAACTTAGACATTGTAACTTTTAACAGAGTCGAAATATTAAAACTTCAGTGCGTCACAACACTGGTTTTATGTCAGTTTAAGATAAAATTGATAATGTTGTTTACAAAAAGCTTAGTTTTATCACCGTGTTGTATTTGTTTTAATGGAATGTCACTTTCCTTAATGGTGGGTGATATGCTTGGCAATGGTTATTTTCGCATTGATTAAAGAATCCCCACTGAAGTTTACACATAGGTAGTTATATTTCTGTAGGCTATTCTGATGATTTTGGTATTTTGTTTTGTACCTGTACATGCTTAAAGAAATAAAGCTTATAGATCATATGAAATTGAGTGGGTTAAAATGACATGAGCAAACATATAGTTTGGTTTTGGTGAAGAATATAACTGTTGTTTTAATTGTAATGATAAATAGTAAGGTTAAGTGATTTCAAAACGAATTTAGACCGGTGGGCAAAACCATCTTCACTTTGATGACTTTTAAAAAAGTTTTCAATCGTCACGGCAGCATAGTCTTTTCCAAATCACTGCGAAAGATGGCATTGACTGTTAAAATCGGCTGTCAGTTGTTTTCCTTTTTTATGTTTTTTTTTTAAGTTTAATATCCTGATGATCGGATGGTGGTTTGTGTAAAGGAATGCTATTCCAAAGGTCGCGGGTTCGATTCCCGTTTAAGTCCAGCATTTGTGTGCATGAACATTAATTGTTTGATTTGGTGTGGTGTTTCTATGTATAATATGTAAAATTTTCCAAAAAAAAGGAAATATGTATTTATATCAGTTGTCCAGTACCTATAGTACAAGCTCTGCTTAGTTTAGGACTAGATTGCGTTGTGTGAATGTGGTAGAATATTATATTATTATTATCCTTTTATGATCTTATATCGGAATCTAGTATATCCTTCTTGCTGTCAACACTTATCTTCTACTCTGGGCATGTCAGACCAGTTTTTAGTAATCAAAGTCATGTAGGTATTTTTTAGTTCATGTGTTTCCATTTTGTTTGAACCTGAGCAGTTTGCACTGAATTTTTTAAAAGTATCACTACGGCTTACCGTAAATACCGTGATGAATTGTAATTACCTACCTGTAATCTTCATTTCTTAATTTTTACCTCCTCCTTATACCTTTAGGGGTAGAGTATTTTTTTTAAAGATTGGGACCAAACAGCATTAATTTAAAAAAAAAACAAATCGATTTAAAAATTATGGAGTTCTTAGGTACCAAACATAAGAAAAATACAGACGAAACGAGAACCGTCTCCTACTTTTGGAAGTAGGTTAAAAACGATATTCCTCTATAACGTTCAAAAGATCTTGCAAAAAACAGCTATGTAGTTGATGTGGAACGTTATATATATATTTAGTACAGGGAAAAGGTTCTAACAAGGTTGTTAAAAAGTTAGAATGCCCCTTAATTAGTTCAGCCACGAAATACTTATACACACGTACAGCAGACACATAAATTTTATATAAGGCTGAGACGAGAAATACTCGTAAGGCTGATTTGTATATTATTCTTTAATGATTCTAATAAAGCAACGCTGTAATATACCAACAACGCAATAATATGGTTGTTTATAGATGGCATTAAGTTATATACCTAATTTATCTTATTATTTGCACTAGAAATAGGCTTAATCAATTGTATAGTATTATAAATTATAACAGTCAGAATATTGCACCTCAGAATCCAACGACAATGGGGTCTAGGATCATCATTGCGTTTATTGTGAGTTATTGCAGAATTACAAAATTATCGAACTTTTAACTTCAGAATTGTTTATGTATATTCAACCAAAAATTATAATGACATTATATTAATAGTGCTACATTGTGTAAGCACATCAAATATCTGATGACACTTGTATAAGCGTCTAAGGCTCAGGGCAGACCGAGAGGAATAATCCTCGCGCGATCTCGGGCATTTCCTCCACGCGCCGCACGGACCACGGACAAAAAATGCTTTTTATATTTTTGACATTTTCAAACATGTATGTATTTTAGAACAATAGTTTTAAAGTTTATTTCCGAGTGCCTTTAAACATCCTTCAAACGTCTTCTCAGCTGCACTCCTCTCGGTCTGCTTTGGCCCTCAGACACTGCTGGAATGTAATTGGGGAAGCTCAAAAAATTGTCAAGTTTTATATTATTGAGTTTATCTATTTTATTCTGAGGAAAACGGACTAACACTAGGAGCATTATTTAACATCTCGAAATCGAATCGACTAAAATCACACCCTCGTTTCTTTGTCAAAGGTGGATCTATTACAAGGATACCCGAGTCCCTACACGGTCCCGGTTCGATCCCCACATGGGCCGACACATTGCGTGATCCACAAATTGTTATTCTGAGTCTGGATGTTCATTGTGTCCGTTTCAGATATGTTTGTAAAGTCACCCGCGACACAGGGTATAAGTATTTCTAATGCGGAAGTTGTCTTTGAAAAAAAAAAAACAAAATAAGTAAGAAGACCAATAAGAAGAAAGACGAGATTTTAAAATTACGTAAATTATTTTTATTTTTGATTATTTTTCTCGTTGTTGTCAGACTCCGTATGGCAGTTGTATTCTGCGGTTGATTGTGTCACTGCGGGGCTGGTCGAAATTTAGTCAAAGGTTCAGGCGGCAAATACTACACTCTGTGTCTACTAGAATTCGAAGTTCATGTATTCATATTTCTTCACCTTATAACTCTCTAGTCAATCCCAAAATATCTAAATATACCGCTGCTGTTAATTACGCCTGCGCTAAATAAAAACATTCCATTTTGTTAGAAACAAGAAAAATATATGTTTTTTTAAAGTAGGAAATAATAAATCACTTTTGACGATTGGTACTATCAAACCACGTATTGGTACTATCATTGTGGTGGGAAATATTTTCCTTTCTTACTTTCTCATTGTTATACATTTTAATTCCCTTTGAAGTTATTGTTTAGTTATTATATTTTATTTACTACTCAACGGCTATTGTAAATCAAGATGTATTTTTAGAAGTTTGAATAAAATAATTTTAAATGTACTTAATTTATTTAAAGTCTTTTTCATTAAGACTGTCAAAAGTAGTAAAACACAGGGGATAGGTAAGGGGTTTCACTATTATCTTTTTATGACATTATTACAATGTGGTCAAGATGTAGACCAAATTTTGGGAACTTGAGCGGGAATCGAACTAAAGAAAAGAAAACATATTTACAGAAACATACATTAAAACACATAATACATATACACAATGGGCGGCCTTTTCACATGAAGTGAAGTTGATGTATTTCAATCAACCTTTAGATGACCAAGAGTGCAAAGAACAATGCTGAATTGCTGCCGCTGATTGCTTAAATAATACACGAGCTTTAGTAAGTTGAGGGTACCTAATGCCCGACTAATTTGATTTCAATTTTAGCTGATATATAGTACTAGAATGATGGATAAACTCAGACTAAATATGAAGTTCACCAGACCAGACAATAACGAGTAAGGAAAAAACTATAATTTAAGAATGACTTCATATAGCAAACATTTTGATTAGTGCAATCCACAATGATTAAAGTAATCCAATAATTCACGAAACCTTCGGATTAGTTAGTTTTATAATACCTCCGGGTATAAATGCTGAAAACTTCTACGGAGATATTCAGACAAAGCGCAATGGAGAACAAATTCATCTTTGTCGTTTTTGTAAGTTGATTTCTATAGAATTGTTAATACATCTTTTTGTGCATCTCTAAAGTGTTCGAAATTGTTTGAGTTTAGACAAGAATACTGCACAATGCAATGTAGTCGGTAAAATAATTATAATAATTTTATTTACTGTTAAAATTTGATTAGGTCAGTGGTAAATTTTTGCAAAATGCCAACCACACTAATAAAGAAATAATTAGAAACAGGACAAAAACAAATAAAAAAAGATTACTATTTTGTTGCCCTAAATATCCCTAACACACGTTTTTCTTAAGGAATTATGATTTTAGTTTATTATAGAGTATATGGGAATAAATTTGGGGAAATAATAACCTAACGACGTCCATAGTTGCTCTAAGTTTTTGTGTTGGAACAAGAAGAGTGTACTTTAAAGTTGAGATGACACAGTTTGCCAAATTATTTTAGGTTTCAGTTAAGAGTCAAGTATTACTACATCTACCATGTGAATATCTTTTCCAGATACTGTGTGGGGTTGTCTGGCAGGCCCACGCTGCTGTTAACTGCACTGCAGCTGGTCGATTTGCAGACCCTAGCGACACAACTTGCAAAAATTATACGCTCTGCGTACTTTCAAATGGCGCATTTCTAGCATACAACTACGTGTGCCCAACCACATCATTGTTTAATCCAACGTCCAGACAATGCACAGCGGCTACTAATTATGTCTGCCCTGTCGCTAATACTACGAACACTACTACAAATGTGTGCACCGCTGAGGGTTACTTTGCTGACCCTGCTGTTACCGACTGCTCTTCGTATATACAGTGTGTGTTAATTAATGGAGTCTATACTCAAACGACGTTTACATGCCCAGCCAACACCTTCTACGACCCGAACACGACTTTATGCGACGCTTCTTATAACTGCACCAGTACAACCGCATTTACTTGTACCGCCAGCGGTAGATTTGCCAATACTGCAGATACCACTTGTCAGACTTACTTCTACTGTGTGTTGTTAGCCACCGGTACTTATACACAGTACAACTATACTTGTCCTACTACTTCAGTGTTCAGTCCAACATCCTCATTATGTACCACATCTTATACCTGTACTGGTTAATATTATCTATGTAAAACATACAATTTTTTGTCGATTTAAAAAAAGGAAGTGGTCAATTCGATTTATTATTATGTTTGTTATATGGCTGATTAAAGGCACCTGGACTTATTCAGAAATTTAATTTTGTTTTTTAGTTCGCCACAATACAATCAGTTTGAGATTTGGTAGAGGATCCTGGAGAATTTGAGGGAACCCTTTAAATATTATTGGCACCCCATTGCGATTTGGGTAGTTTTCATAGAAAACTGCGCATTTGTCGTAAACGAAAGTACCATTTGATGAAGACTACTGGTCTTGCCTGTGGTCAAAGGGTCACTAGACTTAATACTAAGTATTTACCAAATTTAAATGCTCACAAAAATGCATCCTTATGCATTTTGTTATTAACTTCAGAGTACTTCCCGTATTTTAAAAATAATTATCAAATATTGTAACAAATCTGTGCCACATCTAATCGAGAAGAATTATACGATGAGGTGGGAATTATAATAGTCGTATATCAAGATATAGGTACATAGTCGTTGGTTACACTTTATTTAAAGAAATTTATCAAAAAAACGTTATTCATTTTCGTTGATAAGATCTGTTCATAAATAAAATTGTAAAACCTATCAATATTTGTTGTTATTGATGATTTGCTGTAAGAATCAGATTTGGAATTAAGATTAAGAGACTTAATTTTCGCCGAATATATTATTATCGAAGTAAATGTTACCAAATTAACAGGGTTAAATAATAATTGTACATAATAACTATAATAATAATTATAATATATTTTTAATTAATATATTATTATTAAGATAGTGTAGGCTTCAATTTCGCCGAATATATAATCTAAGTAAATCTAGCAAAATTAAATGGGTTAAATAATAATTGTCATTTTATGAAATACATAATATCTGTTCAAAGTGAATAATGGTACTGAAAGTATTTCATTATTTATTTTTAAACACCATGCATTTCAAAATAACTGGACCCAAAAGATGTGACATACCTCTGTATGTATGTCTTTTGAATAGAGTAGTAATTTGTTCAAAAGTGACTGATAATTGAATAAATAGTTATTTTTTTAAATATGATAGTAATACAAATCATATAACTGGTGGGATAAATTAGTGTCATTCGTATCTGTATGGTACATAAGAGATACATCGGTACCATGTGTACCAACAACAACAACTAATGGTACAGGTTGATTCTAGTCTGGAGGGATCTAGGGTAAAAAAAAAATTATTTAAATTTTAAGTATCACTTTACATTTAGAGAAAAAGTTGTGCACGATAAATGAGAAGTATATGTATAGAAAGTATGTACATTTCTTACTTTATAACTTGCATTTAAATCTTTATACAAATAGGCTTTCGCATATTTGACATCTAAATTGTAGTAAATAAAATATTATTGCTTTGTATTTGTTAGTTTTTATTATTAATGGATAATTATAACAATATCAACAGCCGTTTTGTGAAATCTATTGAATTAAGGCTTCAGGTTATGGTTATTTTGTCAATGTGGATTGTAATAATAATTGCGAGCCAGGATTGAAAGCCAACACTCAATTTGAAAATAGGTATGCCAAGGTTTGTGTAATTGCATTATTACACTATTTTTATTTTTAAACACAAGATTAATCTGTCTTGAATGAAAAATGACAAATAATGCTATATAAGTTAATTATCTGCTACGATACCGCAAAGAATTCTTTTAAAATTCAGGGAAAGATATAATCGGGCATTCGCAAGCATCACATCACATCTCACATCAACAGCCTTTAATAGGCCTCTCCTTAGAAAGGAGGTTCGCAAGCATAATATTATTAAACTCCTTATGCTTGTATAAAGTGGATAGAGATGGCGAAATTAACTTATACGTTTTGTCGTTAAAACAAAATCATAAATAAACATCTCATACAAATAAATAATTCACTACATAAAGCTGTACGTTCTGCGTACGTATATTTATTTCGACGTTGATTTATTAAAGAATGTATTTAAAATCTTAGGTATAGTTGTTCCCTTTTACGTTCGAATGGGAGGATCTATGTCGGGACGGGGCTGGGTGTCTCCGATGCAAACCTGTATGTTTAGATACCTTAATGAGCTTTCGTTTCGTCCGTGCCATTTCATCAAATAAATATTTTTCCTTATACTTAAGTGGCGTTTGGAACTTTCCTTCAGTTAACAGTATTCCGGCCAACTTTTTCGCCGTCATTAAATTCTGTTTCAACTTGTTTGAATAGTCTGCCTCGTCAGTTGCTTCAACCATGTTGGTGTAAGTATGGAAGCCGTCAGGTAATAAACTGATGTTTGTATTTGTTCTTGCGATTATTGAAAAGTATCGTCGAAAGTAATTTTCTCTAGCTTTCTTGATAAGTTCAGAAGTGATTTTTGGTTTGGCTTTTGGACGCTTGTCCCCAACTGTGACTGTGGTGATTTCGTACTCTTCGGTTGTATGTTTCTGTTGTATTAAAGGAAAATAATTTTCTTGCTGGTTGTTTTTAGAATTTGGTTCAAGATATCGTTTCTTATTATCACCATCGAACTCTGGAAATCTAGTTACTAAAAAAGTGGTATCATTTATACGCCGTACTTGGTAAGTTTTTACACTTATAGAAAATGTTGTAAAGCTACTGAAAATAAGCTGAATAAAAAAGATATATCGCGTAACCAAAGAAATCATTAATTTATCTAAATTATATTGAAGAACATATCCGTCATTGTGTCTAACTACAACACATTGATTTTGACTTTCTGAATGACGTTTATTTTTTAATTTGTCTTTTCATAGATTCGATATTATGTCTAAATAGGTGCATAAACACCTTTTTGTATTAAAGTAGCTATGCCTTTTAAGACTATAGTCCATCTAATCTAAGAGGTTACGTTTTACAGTTCTGACAGATAGAAGTATAGCGACGGGGTCAAAAAGTTCGTCAGACGAGCAGACGGGTCACCCGATGGAAAGTGACCATCGCCGCCCATTAACGTCTGCAACTCAGGAGTCACAAACGCGTTGCCGGCCCTCTTTTCTTGAGAGTTTGAAGACTGTATCGGTCCGGCAATACCGCAGACGATAACCCGTTCCACACATAAATATTTTACTAAAATATCTGAAAATGAAAGAATTTTTCAAATCAGACAAGTACTTCCTATTTTTTCTTTTTTTTTCTGTGCAGAAATCCCCTCGGATACCACTTACCGACGGCAATGTCGGACTCGAACCGACTAAAACCGCACGCCGTCTCAGGTACCAGTAGTCGGGGAACCAGGTGTACCCTAGAAAGGAAATCCCTGGTGCCAGACCAGTACTTCCTGAGATTAGCGCGTTCAACTATGTTATATTAAACAAACAAACTTTTCAGCTTTAGAATATTAGTTCAGATAATTAAAATTTGTTTTTTTCAGCGGTACATATTAATCAAAATGTAGAACATTTCGAGCAAACTAGTCTAATGCGCATATCCGTCTTTGCTATTATTATTTCATTACTTATTAACTTTCTTTGAACCCACTAAAATCTTCTTGGACAGTTTAACAACAGTTTAAACAGACTAAGCTTTTTCTCCAGTCAAAATATTTGTATCGGTTATTAGTAAAAGATCGAAGTGGCGTGCAATGGGAGAGGCCTATGTCCAGGAGTAGACTAGATAGGCCAATTGATAGGAGTAGGATTTAATGTTACCACGCATTAATTACATATATTGATCATACAGCAGTTACATACATTGAAATTATTCGAGTACTACTTAGTTCAGACGTTGATAAACTAATCGAATCCATATTTTGTCGTCTTAACTTCTTAATAAAAAGTGAATGAAATCACACAATGGTCGTCGAGAGTCGGCTCTCAGAGCACGGAATCAAGGTCAAATTTGTCTTTCAAATCATCCAAATACACTTTGCATCTCAACATGGAGATACAAAGGAAACAAAGCCTTAGTGTAAAGTCATTAAACTGGATTTTATTTTTGTTTAAGATGCATATATCCATACGAAGAAAGAGTCTGAGATAGTTCACGGTGATGTTATTGTTTTCAATGCCACCGAGCCCACGCTTCTTAATTGTCATTTCCGTAAGTGAACAAGAAAGCAATGGAGAAGAAAGAGAAAATCTATGTTTCAATATCGTTGACACTTAAATTTCCTGATGAAACTTTGAATAGCAGTAGTTACTAAAATTAGTAGGATAACTTTCATTTATATTAAGTCAGTACCTATTATTTAATATATTTAAGGGAAGGAACATCGGATTCAAGTTATGAATGCAGGGTTCTTGATGATGACTACGTATAGCCAGCCCCTTCAGCCGCCTACGAAACCAAGTTTCGAAACCAATTTCGAAATATGAATAATTTGTCTTCTTTTGAAAGTGGTATCGATTAAAGAATAATATTTCTTCTTTCAAAACTCGTTTCGATAAAATAATAATGTTTCTTAGCCACCGAGCTTAGAAAGGTAGCCCGCACCGATTTTTTTTGTGATATGGTGTGGTAAATATGTTGGGCTCTACAACTCTACAAGAGTGTTACCACGACCTCACAGAAAACCAATGTTAAGCAATTAATAATAATAACCTCACACATCTTATATACGGCTGCCTGATCCCAAACTAGGCAGAGCCTGTACTATGGTAACAAGACTGCTGATAAACATACTTACCTATATATTTCTAAATACATACATATTATAGATATATTGTACACCCGGACACAGAACAAACGATCGTGCCATCACCAGATATTTGTCTTGGGTGGGAATCGAACCCACGACCTCCGGTTAGCAGTCAGGGTCATTAACCACTAGACCAACAGGCCTGTCACTTCTTTCCCTCTTCTTTTGTTGCTTTACGAGTAAACGAAGTTACCGGAGCCGAACCCCCCCTCTATTTCTAAGGGACTCAAAGGGAAGCGGCAGCACACTTGTGACTCTTCAATCGTAGGTGGGCATGGGTGGTAGTAGTCACTTACCTATGAATGCACACTTTTACATACATGACGTCTA